CAATGAACTTTTGCTGCGCCTACTATGTCCTTGTATTGATCTGTGTTACTACCTCTGACCTGACTCCCTTTTCCATCACCGTGCACTTTTTACACCAATCATCCATACTCAACGAACGGCCGAGCCTCCAACACGGTTGATTCAACGCTGTCCACTTGGCGCAGCGGTTATGAGGCAATGGGCACAGGCGAGGTCTTTGATCACCCGAGACAGCGGCCGGAACCCATCGGTGCCGTTGAACGATGTCGCCCGCCCCACATTGCAACGGTGTCGGCTGTGCGCTCGATAGTATCGTTCGTTAAGGCCTTTGCTTTGAAGACTTCCCCTTCAACTACACTGACTCGGGCGACACGAGCCTGCATTTTGCTGTGGCATGGAAGGTGGACTCTTTCTCAGATTACAGGAGGGGCGATCACTTGTCGTCTTCGTATGTGATGTCGCACACCTTCTCCAACTCCTTCATGACTGTCTTTGCACCGGCGTCGATTGCGGATTTAGGAATTTTCAAGTTGACTTCCTCTCCATTTTCTCCGTCCCCATTCGTCGTTCCGTTGGTGCCGTTTACGCCATTGGATTGATCCTCCAAACCACGTGTTTGCTCTCTGATCTTCTGCATCGCCAGATTCCGGGCTTCCTCGCAGGTAGTAGCCTGGCCCGAGCGGAACAGATCGGTAATGTAGGCTCTTAGATCGTCTTTGAACCCAGAGGCCCGCAGGGATTCGTCTAGGGTGGATTCAATATTGCGGATGCCATCGCCAGAAAGAAGGGCCGAGTAAATGTTGTTCCGCAGGTCTTGGGAGATGCCGGACTGGGCCTGAGTCGTAGTTACATTGATGGATTGAGACATTGTTCCGAGCTCGTGAGTCGTCAGGTGTGAGATTGTGGTACAAAAGGAAAAAAGGAGGAGGTTCGTCTAAAGTTGTCAATACCGGGCGAGCTACCTTATAGCGAAGTAGTGGGTGATCCTGTTCGCGTAGACGACGGGGAGCTGGGCGCACGTGGGATTGTGCTCTGAAGCTCGGAGGTAGCCAGATGTCGTAATATGGGATGCAGCGTCTTAAACGACTGGCCGGGGTAGCCGTATTCGGGCAGATGCCGGCAGAGATGGCCCTAGTTCAACGTTGGCGGTGAAGATCGTTAGACGCATGTGCGTGGTTTACCGGGTGCCGTTGCGGGCTCGTGATGCGAACGATAACTTGCAAGATTGCACTTGCCGGATCCGAAAGCGAGCAGGTGCAGCGTGGGCGATGGGGGGAGAGGAGGGGAGATGCCGAGAGCGGCGCCGCGAGAGGGGGCGGCTAGGAGCCTGAAGCAAGAGGGTTCATGTGCAAAGCCGCCCGACGTGGATGGGCAGGCGGTGGTGAGCGCTGAGTGTTTGGTACCTGCATCCTTTATCGCAATATTGGCTCCCAGCTGGTATGGGAAGCTCGGACCCAGAGGGCTCTATCCCGCTTTGGCTTGGGTGGCCCTGCTAGCCGCCTGTCGACGGTATTGGTATTGGCATCCAGAAGCAGGCGAGCCAGTCTACTAAGGCGTCGTGAGCAGAGCGCTCCTCCTCCTGCTGTGCACTGCCTCGTCGTCTCGCTGCTCTCCATAGTCATCCTGGCCGCCTTCTTTCTACCTCAGGCAAAGGCATAGGGCGACTGCAGGGACCATCGCAGCCCCCGAGGATACGCGCTTCCCCATCAGGCGTCGACGACAAAGCGCTTAGGGACCGGCACGCCTGGCCGCCTGCGAAGACCTTCACCCTCCCCGCCCTGCACTCTTGCGTGCCACGGCTAGCAGTGTATCTGAGACTGCGCCCAGGATAGCCCGACCTGCTCCCGCTGGAGACGAAACACGCCGGCTCAATCTCGCTTCGTCTCAGACAGGGTGCCCTATCGACGACACTGGACCGCCCGGCCTGCGCGACATCGCCATCGATAACACAGACGTCGTCCCCTCGACGAGCTTGCTGCGAGGGCTTGGCAGCATCACCTCCCTCCGCCCTCTGCCAACCCTGCGACTCCCGACGAGGCCGTCGACGTCACGCCCACCATGGCCTACACGACCAAGTACCATGAGGACTCGGACGCCGATGACGAGTTTGAGCGCCAGGGCATCTCTAGCCCGACCCTACCCGCCGAGTACGAGAGCTCCCCCACGAGCTCCGGCCCGCTGAGCACTGAACACACGCCCACCACCTTCACCCATTCGCGCGACAGCAAGAGCAGCCCGACGGGGCACATAATGGAGTGGAACGAGGACCAGACGGCCGACTTCATCGCCGACCTGGGCCTGGAGCAGTACTCGGATACCTTTGCTAGTACGTCGCACCGCGCGCACCATTAGCATTGTTTGCTAACCCATTGTTTGTAGACGAGGGCATCACCGGCGACGTGCTCGCCGCCCTTCAGCATGCCGAGCTGAAGGAGCTGGGCGTCGGCAGCGTAGGCCACCGCCTGACAATCCTCAAGGCCGTCTACGAGATCAAGGTGCGGCAGAACGTGCCCATGGACCCCGACGACTACGTCCCGCTATGTGAGTCCATTGCCTTTGCCATGGCGTTGCACGTCTAACCACCACCTCAGCCGCGGATACGTCGGCACAGGAAGCGCCGCCAACCCAAGACGACTTCGCCAAGGTCATTCGCGTAGTCCAGGCGCGCGACGAGCGCATACACACGGCCGAATCGGAGCTGCGACATCTCCGAGAAGACCTCAGCAGGGTCATGGACGAGAACAAGCGGCTACGAGAGGAGATCCTGCCACTCGTGCGCATGCTCAAGGACAACCAACCCCTGCCTACGCCCCACGAGCACTCCGTCACATCGCCACCTGCAACTCAAGAGAGATCTGGTGGCAGCAGTCTTTCGCGTAAGTTCTCTACCAAGAAGCTTTTCCTTGGATCCGCGCCAAAGAACCCCTCTCCAACAATCCAAGAACATCGCGCTCTTGTCGATCATTCTTCTTTGGACCCCTCCGCAGCAGCCGTCGCAGCCTCCTCACACCTCACAGCATCTCTCGGTGGTGGCCCGCAACTGTCGCCCAACTCCATCGCCCAACCCTCCCCGACATCCCCCGCATACACACAAGGCCAAGGCCGCCAATACAACCGCGAAATACCCCGAAGCGGGCACGATCACGACGGCAGCTCAGGGTGGAGTCAAAACACATGGAACTCAGACACAACTGCTGTATCCGACCGCAATCGCGACCCCCGCGCTACGCCCGCACCACTGTCATCACGACAGATGCGAAACAACGCTGCACCAACACCAACCCCCGACGATCGCGACCCACCGCTCTCTGGCGGCTCAAGTTCAATGAACACGTCCGCATCCAATCCCGCATCCACGCCATCTACGAACCCGCAAGTTGAAATCTTCAAATCGTTCCGAGTCTCAATCGACGATCCGTGCCACAAGGTGCTCCCGGTTGCCCTTAAGAAATATAACATAACGGCAGATTGGCGCCAGTATGCCCTGTATATTGTACACGGTGATCAGGAGCGCTGTCTTGGACTCAACGAGAGGCCGCTGATATTGTTCAAACAACTTGACAAGGAAGGCCGGAAACCCATGTTCATGCTTAGGAAGCATGCAGCACCGCAAGAAGGCCATGTCAGCACTGTGGGCGGAAACGATGTACGGCCCGTCAATCCGCAGACAGAGAGCTTCGGGTGGGGTAACCAGAATAGAGGGACACCCCTACCCGGAGGCGTTCTGTAGAAGACTACGACACTACCAAATAGAAGAGGCGTTGCTGTCTGGAAGAGGATAGCATTGTAAGACTATGGGTATTGTTGAGAACGACCTCCTTCAATACTGCTGTCGAACGATCGTCGCTGTTGTAAACGACATCACCACAGCATACACGGTAGAGGGAGTGTTTTCCAAACACCAGAATTGCGATCAAGAATTACACAAGATGTCATCTTTATACCATCTTGCGTGGCATGATTAGCGAAAGGCGCTCATCCAACGCGATCAGCGTCGACCCAAGCATGGTCGGAGTTTCGGCGTATCTACGGTTCCTGGTACCATTCACATTCACACCTAGGGAAAGGCTGCGATTTTGGGTGTTTTTGAAGCAAATCTGAGGGAAGAAAAAGGAGAAGGATTAAGACGGTGCGGTGGGATACAGATGGGATTTTCCAGAGACGACCTCGTTGTGCTATTTCATGACGACATCATAGGGGATTTGTGTGCAGCGAGCACCTGGCTGATTCATTTAAAAGCGTCTTCGACGCGTACAGCGAAAGCGTCAATCGTAGTATATTCTACTTTATCTCTCACAATTGCAAACGATGTGTTATTCGCTGTTCATTTCAACTTCACTCTAAATCATTCTCGTGGTGCAGCTCTACTACATGCATGTGTGAAGCACTAGGACTGCAGTCCTGGCCACTAAACTTAGCTCATCTTCTCGGGTTACCTTACACATGCTACTACATACCCTTGGCCCCGTGTGTTGCCTCGAGTCATGGAACACTACGTGTTGGGTGTGATTCCCCGGCCTTGCATACATGATACGCGTCACGATGCAGGTACCGAGAGTATTGTCACATCAATCGCTGCGACCGTGTTTGGTTTTGCTTCGTTGCTATTTTCGCCGCCGGGGGTTTGGAAGAAGGTGGAAAGTAGGAGGTATATTTAGCTCGTGGCCCCTCGCTGTCTCAGCTAGATCTTTGGTGTGCAGCGGCTTGTTCCGTTGGTGATGCTGTTGTCGAGGTTGCTGTGTGCCTGAGGCCGGGGAAATGGAATAGATAGGGCAATTCGCAGCTGGTGCATTCGATAGCGGTTATCGTTACCCAGTTCCAAGGCTTTTGGTCAGAAAGCATGTCAGTTTGTCAAGGATAAACGACCTTCGTAGTCCTCTATCGTCTTCTGCACATGCCAAATACACTTGATCTTACTCTTCATTCCACGTCGTGGGTATCTTATCGCCGGTTGCCGTGCTTGTTCCAGCAACCTAACTTTCCTCCCTCTTCATCTTCCCCATTATATGCCAAAAGTTCCATCAAAACGGCTTAGCAGCCTTCCTCGCCTCCGCCTTCCCACTGACCGGATCCCTAAACTCCTTCCAACTAACCGGATGCATAACCCTCCCCTCTTCACTCCTAGCCAACACAACACCAAACTCATTGCGATCCGTAGCGACATAGTAATTGCCGCTATCTCCCAGACTAATGACCGTGCCTCTGACCAAATCACCCACCCTGAAGCTCTCCTCAATCTTTATCTTGTCCTTCTCTGTAGCCCGGATATCTTCGCGTCGGATCTGCGCGAGGAAGGCTTCGCGACATACGGCGTTGTCGATGACGAGGATTTCGCAGCTCGCGAAGCGTGGGCCGAGGCGCGTTATGCGGACGAGGACAGTGCTGGAGACGGTTGGAAGGAGGGGTACGCCGCCGCCAGAGTTGGGACCGAGGATACCGGGGTCGGTGGAGGTGGGAGGACGCGTTATTGAGAGGAGCGGCGCGAGTTTGCCGGACTTGGAAGATGCGCTTTGGGTGGAGGGATGTGATGGCGAAGAGAAAACGGGTCCAGCTATTGAGGCGTAGATTTGCGAGTCGTGGATGTGCGTTCCTGGACCTGGACTGTATTTGTCGACACTTCCGAGCAGTTGCCCCGGGAGCGCTATTGAAGGAAGCGCCATTGTGGTGGTGGGTTGAAGCTGTCTTTCTAAGGATTGTATCCCCCCAAGTCGTTCTTGTTCAGCCTCCGCGACGATCCTACTGGAAAGGCAATGGGTTGCTTTTGATATTTGGTGTGTTGATCGGTTCGCGACCCGGTTTCTCGATGTTGTAACCTCGTTCGTGCTGGGGCAAATTCTGTGGACGCGGTTTTGGAGCTGGGTTAATTGGTGTTGCTTGCTGGGATCCGTAACTTTTTAGCTGCGGAAGCTTACGTCATTCGCCTAAACTTGCCGCCAGGCGTGTTGATTGGAAGTCACGCAAACCTAATAAGATGCAGTTGATTCTGACAAGTCGGTATTACACTAGGATGTATGCTGTAAAGCTACAAATCTTGCGCGTCCTGGCGCTGACTCTGTGCCCCGGCCGAGGCCTTGCTGCCCGAATCATACAATCACTTCCGCATATACAAGCAGAAGAACGCCGGTTTTGGACCAACCATGTATCTAGCACCTTGCTCCAATCGCCGAGCCATGCAATCCCACGCAAAACAGTCATGAAAATCATTCGCTCATGGTAACGTTCCGGTAGAAGACGCGCCCAATCTGACCCTCGGACAGGTTCATACGCGTCCCCTCTGTCCTGGGCCTGACTCTACGGTCTGCCGGCGACTAAACGGCCTGGTAGAGGAGTAAGGGTTCGCCGATATTTTCTATCTCGGGGATGGTGCATTTCAGATCAAAGGCTTTGGATAGCACGATCTTGAAGATCTGAAGCAGAGTCAGTATGGGCTTGGTAATGGGGATGGACAGCTCTCACCTTCTGCACGTTGATGCTATGGCTGGTTGAGCTGAATATTAGACTGGCCTTCATCGCTCGCGCAAATCGCTTGGCCTAGGCGCTGTTAGTCCTACGGCTCTGAATGGTTTTTGGCAGGGACTCGTACTTGATTAGATATCTCCTCCTGCTCCTCGCGCGGGAAGTTGACAAAGTGGTCGTACTTTGTGCCGACCAAAAACGGGATGGCAGTCTTGTTGAAACCGCGTCCCTGTCTGTACCACTCCTTGATGGAATTTAATGTGCTTTTTCGCGTCAAGTCGAACATGAAGAGTATGGCAACAGCATCGTTGCAAACCAACGGCAACATATTCACGAATTCACGTTGACCACCCAAATCCCAAATGGAAAAGGTGATCTCCGTGTTCCGGATCGAGATGGTCTTTTCCATGAAGTTGACGCCTGTGGTTGTCAGAATCTGCAGTTTGTGAAACGTGCTTGTGTAACCCACCGAGCGTTTGGATGTAGTCCTCGTCCCAGCTGCCCTCAACGTATTTGACCATTAGACTAGTCTTTCCGATCTGCGCGTCTCCGACCATGCCGACCTTGATGACGACGCTGGCATTTTTGGCGGCCTCCTGTTGTTGCTGTTGGGCGCTCCCTCGCTGGTCTTGATATGAGTTTGACCGCGTGTTGCCCTCCGAAGTCGGATAGCGTCCCATCTGCGAGCTGGGCCGCGAATGCGACTGGCCCATGTGTGTTTCCTTGTTGGCATCGTAGTAGCCGTGCCGTGGAGGTGTGTCGGCGTCTGATGATGTGTTGAAGCGCGTCCCGTTGTGTGTTGTGTACTGGTACGCGGTGTCTGAGTAGGATGTTGAGGGTCGGTGAGGCTGCTCGTAGGGGTTGGGACTGTTATTAAGGCTCGCGTTCTGGGTGAGGTCTGGTAGCGGTGTGACAGTCGAGGCGGTAATGGTCGAGCTCATGCTGTCGTCGGCTACGTCCATGGTCTGGTCCATGTGCTTCTGCGCTTCCTGTTCCGCTTCGATAGGCGCCTGCTCGGGCTGCATTGGCTCGGGTTGCAGTTGCTGGGGCGGCAGCTGCTCAGGCTGCACTTGGTGTACGTGCTGCACTTCTGTGGCAGCTACGTAGGGCTGCTGCGCGGGTTCCTGACTCGAGTATTCTGGCTCCATGGCTAGTATGTCTCAGCGTCCCCGCGGTTGTTGATCTGAGCTGAAAGCGCGCTGGCACGCGTCAAGACGGTGAATGCAAGCTGACAGTGTGTTTTCTTCTTCCTTGGCGACTCTGCTCCTCGAACAATTCTATGCGACTTTAAAGGGGAGACACGGTATATGGGCGCGGCCTCTGTGGTGTTGACCTGGGATGTGCGGGATGCGATTGGACTGGGGGTAGCGCGCAGTGTTTCGCTCCAGAGATGCACGCAACAGCCCCGGTGGGCACCTGAGAGAGGGGGGCGTCATAGCGTGGTCCGATACGCCGATCGATAAGCCGCCTCAAAAAACATTTGGCGGGACAAATTCCTGCGCCAACTTTTTTACGCCTGCCACAAGACACCCCAAAACACAACCTCACGCACTCACACACCATGGTGAAGCGACCCGCAGACTCAGAGCAAGAGGAAGAGGCTATCAAAAATGGAGATCGCCCCATGGAAATCGATCAACACAACGAAGCGGGCGAGTTTGAGGATGAATTCGAAGATGAATTTGAGAGCGAGGATGAGATTCTCGAGGCAGGTGTGGACGGAAGACCAGACGAAGAGCGCGAAGCTGAGGAGCGCGAGAGTAGGTTGTCGGAGGAAATCGTCAAAATTCCAAAAACTAACGCTTTCAGATGGCATGGATGTCGACCAAGATACTTTCATTCCCGGTCGACACAAACTCTCACCAGGCGAGACATTGAACCCCGATCTTTCCACATACGAGATGCTCCATGCGCTTGAAGCGCCATGGCCCTGTCTCTCATGCGACATCGTACCCGACAACCTAGGCGCAGACCGCAAAACATACCCTGCAACAGTCTACTCAGTGGCCGGCACACAAGCAGCGCGAGGAAGGGACAAGGAGAACCAGATTATGGTCATGAAGATGAGCAGTCTGTCGCGGATGGAGAAGGAGGACGAAGAGGACGACGACGAAGAATCCGACGACGAGGCCTCAGATCCTATCCTCGAGACAAAGTCGATACCGTTGACGAGCTGCACGAACCGCATACGTGCCCACCAGACACCGCAAGCCACCTCCGCACAACCTCCTACGACCCTTACCGCCGCCATGACCGAGTCCGGCCAGGTCTTGATTCACGACGTTACCCCACACCTCACAGCCTTCGACACTCCCGGTACCACCATCTCGCCTACACAAAACAAGCCTGTCTGCACGATTCGCGCACATGGATCGAACGAAGGCTATGCGCTAGATTGGTCGCCACTGATACCAGAGGGCAAGCTCCTGACAGGTGACTGCACTGGAAAGATCTTTGCGACAACACGGACACAGGGTGGAGGTTTTGTCACTGACACCACGCCATATACCGGTCACAGTGGCTCAGTAGAGGAGCTTCAGTGGTCACCAACCGAGAAGCACGTATTCTCCTCTGCATCGAGCGATGGCACAGTCAAGATCTGGGACGCGCGGTCAAAGTCGCGGAAGCCGGTGCTCAGTGTACAAGTCTCAAAAACAGACGTCAACGTACTGAGTTGGTCGCACCAAACCGCTCATCTCCTCGCTACTGGTGCAGACGACGGCGAGTGGGGAGTCTGGGACCTGCGACAATGGAAGCCCTCTACCGACATGTCGAGCGAAAAGAAGCCTTCGCCCGTTGCGTCGTACACCTTCCACAAGGAGCAAATCACCTCAGTCGAGTGGCATCCCACAGACGACAGTATCGTCCTTGTATGCGCCGGCGACAATACCCTCACGCTGTGGGATCTGGCTGTCGAACTCGACGATGAGGAGAGCAAGTACACAGCAGGCGTTCAGGATGTACCACCGCAACTGCTGTTCGTGCATTACATGGAGCAGATCAAGGAGGCGCACTGGCACCCGCAAATTCCGGGCGCCATCATGGCTACAGGAGGATCAGGATTCAACGTTTTCAAAACGATCAGTGTATAAATCAGACTCGTCTGCCCAAAATTTCAAATATCCTACCCTTCTTGGGTTCATGCATTCCAATGCGCGTTTTTCTTCTTTGTTCCGCACCGTCTGCACTTCGTCTTGATCCGGTCAACAAAGAGCGGAAAACCAGTATGTCCTGAAAGCATCTTTAACTGTCGTATTCGGATGTATTTCGTATGCTGAGTCCGTTCAATATGAGAATATATCTAGTTAGCATTATGCGCACGCCCTTTTGAAATAGTAGTTCTCAACCTCCTTCATGAAGTTTCCATCTCAACACCGATGGCACAAGTCAGATCTGGCGTCGACGCCTCGATGAATCAAGCTCCGACTATCCACAGCGAGGATATGACACAATACTTTGCTCCAACGCCTTTGTGCTCCACCCACCAACACCAACCTCACTTGTCAGCAATGCAACCTATCTTGCACTCGAACGCCAGCGCCCACCACTACAACCACTCCCGATCCCAAATCACACACTTGACAGACATCTCTTACCCCGAATCCTACCTTCGTACCCCCATCTATGCGCTCCCCTTTCCGCATCCAAAATGGCATGTCAAAGTCGGCACGGGAGAGGCGTACGAAGTTACAAGCCCTATCTGGGAGGAATACGATGCCGAGCTAGGGTATGTGAATAGTGTGGGTGAAGTGAGGGAGAGTATTGAAAGTCGTGTGGGAGACGAAGGTGATAAGGAGAACAGTGTAGAAAAGGGCACTAGAAGAGGGAAGAGGAGATTGGACGATATTAGTGAGATGTGTTGCGAGAACGTAAAGAGGAAGCGGTTTAGGGATGCGTAGAAAACCGAAAAGTAGTCAATGATTGTACCACGACTCAAGTCACTGGGGCTCTTGATTCCAAAGCAGGTGGGAGTATGAATAGGTTCTTGAATTTACACAGGTCTTTGTATAGGCTTCGGCTGCACTGCCGTCGCCGGAGCACCAGGCACCGGGAACAGCGGCGTAGCCGCCTCGTTCATTTCGCGGATTTTCTTGATCAAGTTGCTGTCATCGTGTTAGCTTACTGTGCTTGCATCTCCACCTTCGGAGACATTGACTTACCTAACAGGCAGATTCAATCTATCCTGTTCTCTCCAAAGAATACCAACAACCTTCTCTCGCCCTCGACTGTGATCTTCCAAGTGTTCTGTGATCAATTGTCTACCCAACTCTTTACTGCATCCGTAGATTTTCTGCGTGCAACCGTCGAAACTGCAGATCCAGGAGTCACGGGGGCCATTAGCTTCGTATGTCGGTAAGGGTGTTGATATTATCGGTGGTGATACTATTGATTTAGTTTTTCCTGATGATGATGCTGGATTCGCGTGGGGAGGGAGATGGGAGGGTCGGTGACGGAGCGGAAGAGGTGGTACAGCGCTGACTCCTTCAGAGGCAGAGTCCGAGTCGCCAGTTGTAGGTGGAGATTCAGGTGCTACGGACGCACTGGCTGTACGTTTCCGTCGATCCTTCTCGTCTTGATCACGGTCCGTATCGTCTAGTTTTCTTTTCTCTCGACCTGGTGATAGGGCGTGGGTTGGTGTGTCGATGCCTTCTTCCTCATCATCTTCATCACTACCTGTAGCGTTACTGCTTTGCTCGGCTTCCGAGTCGTCACTTGCCGGCACGGGTGCTTTCCCCTTTCCGCCTTTCTGTCTCCCTGGCTTAATGCTGATCCCTTTGCTCTTGCCAGAAAACTTTCCACTCGTAGGTCTTAGCACAGAGAGCCGGCCTTGCTTCCGTCTACCCGGTGGTCTACGCACAGGTGTTGTTATTGCGTCATCTTCTTCGTCGGACGTATCCGAAGAACCGCTTTCACCGTCCCTCAGAGTTCCGTGATCTTTCCGTGGTTTCAGTTCCACCCCTTCAGCTCGCCGTTGTTCGGCTGCGGGAAGTGTGTGGCCGGCTGCCAGCTCTTGATATATAGGTTCGGCGGCAAAGAATTGTATGTTCTTCCGCCGCGGGTGGTCCATCATGTAGCACAGATTCTGTGCGTGTACCAGAAGCACATTCTTCGCAGTGTCCGCTTCCTCAATCTCGTATCGCCTAACAATGAGTTCGGCAACGCGATCCACCGTTATGTGATTCCGTCCTGCTCGTAGAACCCGTTGGTTCACTGCTTTCTGCATAAATTCGAAGAGAGCGGCCGCCTCCCACCAGTTGTCGTCTTTCTTCGGCGCTTCCGTTGGTTTCGGTGTCGCATTCGCTTGCGCCGTTTTGGAAGCTGGCGTTGGTGCAGATGCGGACTTCTGGGTCCTCGCTGAGCGTTCGGGTTGGATCTGAGAATAGCGCCCTTCGATTCGTGCCTTACAATTGTCGAAGTCTTTCTACACGCACGTTAGATCCGGCACACGTTGGAGCTCCATGCTTCCTACCGGGAACCGTCGTCTGAAACGTTGATAGATAGGCGTGTTACTCCAGCTCAGTCCCTGGGCTTTGTTCAGAAAGCACATCATGAGGAACAGATGATGTTGATCGAATAGTCTCTCAGCCGCGGCCACATCGTTGCAAGGAAAACGCTCGTCCTCCGCATACTGTGTCGTGTTAGCGCCACAATGTTGCATGATTCTAAGACATGCTGACCTCTTGGAAGACCAGCTCAGCACTGGGCCCGCTACTCTTCTTCCGCGACTCGCCGTATATGTCTGTGACAAAGTATAGAAGTTCCACAGCCTGAACCATCTGGTCGTAGATGGGCTTGTACTGCGCGGTCGGTCGTATCTCGAACCAGCCTGCCTGGCCTTGCGCCCAAATTACGTATGCGCCGTCGGTCATTTCGCCGTAGGAGAAGCGCGTCACATGTTGTATTTCGATTTCCATGGGCTTGTAGGGTTTCTTCAAAACTGCAGCCGCGTTAGCCAGAGCTCTGTGCTTAGTCGTCGCGTCCAACAGCCGACAAGCATGTCTCACATACGATATTTCAGCTGGCTACGCCCTGGAGTCTCCAGTCGCCCTTCCACTCGGAGTGGGGTGTCTGCATATGCAGCAAGAAGGCTTGCAGGTTTGCCATTGCTTTCGAAGACGATGCGCGCATCGCTCAGGACAAAGATCTCCCAGTCGTCGGAATTGGTGTTGGAGGCGTCGAGTGGCTTCAGTATCTCGGATTCTGGGGTCGGCATCTTAAGAAATAATCTCGGGTATACTGCATGCTGCGGTGTTACAAAACAGAGCTGCCGGTCCAAGGTCAGGTAAAAGAAGTAGTGGGGATGAGCGATGCGGGCGGGCGCGAAGGGCGCGAGACGGGATGCGCGTCCAGGGTCAAAGGCGTGTTATCGATAGCTGCTTCCCGAGGTCACTTGCGTCACTCGAAAGCCAAACTCAAGCGTTGCAGCCTACAACACACTTTTAAAGTAGAAGGTGTTGCATCCAAATCTATGTAGTCGGCAAACCGATATACAACTGAAGGGTTTCTTGGAAAATGTAGCTATACCAGATCTAACTTTTGCGACGACATGGGAAAGGCCATTTCCAGAAGAGCACATGTTCTCACCTTTTGAGGTCTTCGATATTGTACCTAGGTATTGCCCAGAAGATCCATAGTGCCCCCGGGTGGATACATCACGGTCTGAAAGCAACGTGAGCCGTATGAAAAGTCAATGTAGCCTGCAAATTAAATTATACTAATAGTGGGTATCTTAGAGTAACACAACGAATCCATCAAGTCATCTCATCATACCGCAGCCTCCTCGGCAGCCTCCTGCTTGCGTATCTGATCCTCCAACCGCTTCTTTTCTGCTTGCTTCAGTCTCATCATAGTCACCTCCTCTAAGCTATGTGTCTTCGGGCTGAAAGAGAACTTTGGTGTTCCTAGTGGCGTGGTACTTCCAACGCCCTTCCCTATGCCTGGGCCAAACGATGACCTGAAGGACTGGTTCTTCGGCGTAGATATAGGTGTTGACGGCGCTGAGGGCGCGTCGTTGGTTGGTGATTTGAGGTCGGGCTCGCCGTTCGCCCAAGCCACGGATTCGAGCGACGGGTAGTCGGACTTTCCGTCCAGAACGGCGGCGTGCGCGTGATCAAGACGTGTGTAGATGATAAAGACAATGGCGATGACCTTGCGGTGCTTCTCTCCCGATGGTCGGATCTTCTTGTCCTTGCCCATGACGACGCTGTCGATCTTGCCGTATTTCGCAAACATGCTCGATAGCTTGTCTTTGTCCCAGTTTGTAGCGTCGCCTTCTCGTTGGAACCGGACCTTGACTGTGCGATCGATCTCGGCGGAGTCTCCAGGCTTGGGTGCCTGCGGCTCAGGGCTTACGTCCACGAAGCTCGCCTCGTCCTCTTCTTTGCGCTTCTTCTCCATGCGCTCTTGTGCTTCCTTTCTGCGCCTCTTGCCATCTTCGGCTAGTCTTTGTATCTCCTGTTCTCTCCTTTCCGCCTCGTTCATATCTTCCGCCCTCTTCCTCTTTAGGTTGTTCATGAAGTCCTTGCCCTCTCGCTCCCTCCTTTCCAGGTCATCCTTCATTTTGCGCCGCCGACCGTCCAGAAGTTCATCCTGGAGCGCTTTCTCCCGCCGCCTGGTACGCGCGCGGTCATATTCGCCCTTTAGCTTCTCGTCTATGAGGATATCTCGAGCCCATCCTAAGTAAATAAAGCGATCCGCAGCATCTTTGTTGTCGGGATTTTTATCGGGATGGTAACGAATCGAGGCTTTACGGTAAGCCTTCTTGATTGCAGCTTCCGGCGCATCGAAGGCTACACCAAGCAACTCGTAGAAATCCTCGGTGGTTGATTTCGCGAGATCTTCGAGGTCCTTGTTGGTGTCGCTCATGATATCGGTGGACCAAGGTATACGTGAGCAGTCAGGGGCCCAGAGCGGGACGTTGGCGCGTGGGATCGAGAGGGGAGACGAAAGTTGCAAGTGGATGTGAATAGCGCAAGCGCGAGGCAGCCGCAGAAACATGTGAGATGATCGCCCACTAGCGCGCCTTCCGGCTTGGCGCATATTCTCGCAACGGCTGCGAAATTTCGCGTTACCGCATACATTGTATTATATTTTGACAATCAAGTAGCACACAAGATGATGTATACTCCAGCCTGATTTTGGAAATATATATATCTCTGTGTAGTCTGTAGGCAACACAAGTTCTGTTAACATCTAGTGGCCCCAATACCTCCCACCCTAGTAGCTAGAGCTCCGAGCTTCCTTCTATCACCCCGCTGATGCCAGTCGCGTCTTCGATAAAGCGCGCGATTATGACTACTCCACCGACCGAGAGTCGCAAGGTGCTCGAAGGTATCTTCGCAATCAACAAGCCGCAATGGGCCTCCTCCGCCGGCGTCTTGCGCGACCTCCAAGATCACTTCTCTCGCTCGCCGCTCTTCGCACCCTGGCTCGAAGCCCAAAAGCGCTCCCTCATCATCGCGGACGCTAAGCCCAAACACCTCAAGAATGTCAAAGCGAAACTCGGCCATGGTGGTACCCTCGATCCAATGGCTACTGGCGTCTTGATTGTCGGCATGGGCAAGGGCACGAAATGCTTACAACGCTTCCTCGAGTGCACGAAGACATACGAATGCGTGGTATTATTCGGCGCGGCGACAGACAGCTACGATGCTGTAGGCAAGGTTGTCGGGAAGGCGGAGTACGAGCATGTCACAAGGGAATTGGTAGAGGAGAAGCTGGCGCAGTTTCGCGGCAAGATCTTGCAGAAGCCGAGCGTTTTCTCTGCACTCAAGGTGGATGGCAAGAAGATGTACGAATATGCTAGAGAGGGCAAGGACATACCAGAGGTAGCAGCGCGGCCGGTCGAAGTAGAAGAGCTGGAGCTTGTCGAGTGGCTGGAACCCGGAAGCCATGACTTTGCCTGGCCAAAGGAGGAAGTGGATGGTGCTGAGATGGAGGGCGCAAAGAAGCTGATGGGTATCCGGAAAGAAGACGCGAAAGTCTACTCCGACACAGCGGCAAGAAGAGGGCGCAAGCGATCGAGATCACCGGAAAACGACCACGTTGAAGGCGCAGGGCAGCAGCCGAAGATACCTAAGACGGATTCCGAGCCTGCCATGTCCGGTGCTTTACCAGCAGAGGTAGCGCCCACCGAGGAAACCTCCGCGGAGAACGTCACAGATGCCAGTGTCGAAGCATCATTGCCAACAGAAGAGAAGCCGGTAGTCTCGATGGAAGAAGCACAAGTACCAGAAGACACCTCAACACTCACCCAAAATAACCCCGCTGAACCTGCCGACGCTGCCGCAACATCAGCTACATCTGCGCCCACCCCGCAGCCACCGGCAGCCCGTCTTCGCATGACAGTAACATCTGGCTTCTACGTACGCTCTCTTTGCCACGATCTCGGTCTAGCCTGTAACTCGCTCGGCCTCATGTCGTCTCTCATCCGCTCTCGCCAAGGCGACTACACGCTCGGCCAGAACGTCCTAGAATACACGGATCTGGAAGACCAATCGAAGTGGGAGCCCCAACTTCAGAAGCAGCTAGAAGAGTTCATGGAGAAGGAGGGTTGGCCAATTGAGGAACTGGACGACGACGAGAGCTGGGAGGGGAGGAAAAAGGATCTGATGGAGCAGAGGAAAGACAATGACCGGGAGAAGAGCTACAAGGGTGGTGGTAAGAAGTGGAACTCGAAGGGTAAGGGGAAGTATGGACGGAATGGGTACTCAAAAAACATGGACGGTGGACGGAAATGAGGGATTGGTACTACTATAACTTGCATTATGATACCCCATGAACCAATGAAAATGACTTTGGTATTTGGCTATGGAGAATTGTTCAAAGAAAATGTGTATGAACAGGTTGAGTATGCGACCCAGGTATCCGACGTCAAACGTCCGTCCTCGAATTCCTTCGACTTAGACTTTGTCTTATACTCTGAAAGCCCCTCTGCACCTCCGTCACAGCATCATCCGCGCCCTGCAGTCCCTCTGCTTCATCTTTCCGATCCTCATGGTTGATGAACAAGAAGGAAAGCACCATGATCGCTGCGCCGACCCAATACAATGCCGATGCATACTGCGAGTCCAACAGCATCTGCCCGACCAGACTGCACGGAATGGTCAAACTAAGACCAACAGTGACAATCAGCGGGGAAGTAAGCAGCATAGCGTACGCCCAGCAAAAGTCGGAGACGAGAGATGATGCGCTGTTGATGAGCACGATGTTGAGGATGCGCGATGTGGGCGGGAGCTCAAAAGGTTCTATGCCGGTAAGATGTAGGATGATGAATCCGGGCCAGAGTAGTAAGATGTTGGACAATCCAACGAGGCCGAAGAAGAGAGGCATGTTGACCTTTGTCTCATCGCCAATCCGAGACTTCATGAAGACCGTGTAGAAACCGTATAGTACAGCCGACACAAAGGCCATGACGTCGCCAATGGCTAGTTCTTTTGGTGTCTTGTGCGGGAAGGAACCGCGGTTCTCGTCTGTCTCGCCGGATACGTCGACCATGGAGATGAGGGCTACACCGCCGAGAGACGCGAGTACGCCGAGGAATTTGAGCAGCGTGAAGCGCTCGACGCGCATTATGGATCCCAGAAGTAGGGTCCAGATGGAGGACGTAGAAGAAAGGATAGTAGAACTGGCAACGGTTGTGTACTCTAGACAGGCGGCCGCAAAGTAGTTTGCCAGGAACCAAAGGAGACAGAACTCCAGCGCCAGTTTCGCTGTATCTCTTATCGTCAAGCCGTCGTCCTCGTCCTGGCCACCAGTTTTCCCGGTTGCGAAACTTTGGGAGCCGTGCAGGGAGGACGATAGCAGGACTTCGGTTGCCTCGTCATTGCGAGCTTTGTTCGAGGCTGAGGTTGAAGAGGGGGTCTCGTGTTCGCGGAGGAGCTTCCATTTCCCTGCTCGCCGTTGCAAGAGGTCGCGTGCGTGTGCTAGGAGAGGTTGGCGGTGCTGCCGCGCGCTGTTGGGACGGTGACGGTCGACCCATAGGTGGTGGAGGAACATGGGTAGGAGAGGGATGACGAAGAATGTTGTGTTTACGTAGGTTACCAGGTAGGGCTTCGAGTAGGAGTCGTCTGCGAATATTGTCTGTTCCATTGTCAGCTATGCGCTTACCACTACCGTGCCATCCCAGGGGATGCGAGATACGTACACTCGCGAGGAAATTACTAGCTGTCCACAGTAGCACCGTCGCAAGTAGGAGAGCTATTCCTACTGCGTGTCGTACTTTGCTCGTCCATAATCCCTTCTTCTGTCCCTCAGCCCACTGGCTGGCTTCGCTCGCTGGGCTCTCGAGGTAGTCTTCCCCGCGCAAGTATGCGCTCTCGTCGGAGACGTCGCTAACGCGTGGACTGAGCGGCGTCGTCTCAACATCTTCTTCCCTCCGAGGTATCATGTTGGCAGGGTGTAATAGAAATTAATGTAGGTGTATGGACAGGTCCGTCAAGGAGGGTCTTCGGTGATAAGCGGGCTCACGGTCGGGGTACGTGTCGAGGCATGGAAGAATATGCGAGCGCCCATGAAATCAGTCGTTTGTCAAAGGCAGAGAAATATGCAAGTGATGGACTCGTGGCACGGGGTGGTTCGGCGTAACACGCGGACACTTGATAAGAGGGTGCTAAGTCCCGGGGGTTGCGAGTTTCATGTGTCCTCGTGTCTCAAAGAGGCCCGTTGACGGAATTGTGGCGGTGCCGCCTTAGCCACGGACCCACGTCATCACGGATACGCGGGCGGAAGGCACGCGTCTGATAGCACTCCAGGCAAAAGTACTGTTCATGTATGTATTCATATATTCTTAGGCAGCTATATCGACTAGGTGACAATGACCCCATCCGTGATGATAGATTACAGGAGTAAGAGATCCTCCTGCTCAAGAAGCATGTTCAACACCAAACTCCATGCGAACTCCAGATGCAAGACGGCATTGCGGCAGATGAGGTTCCATTGTCGGTTCTCATAAACGTCGCTTATTTCGTGATGGCATACACTAGCATGCGCAACCGCCTTCGCTGCCCTTGAGGTCGATCGGGATTGTCTCGGGGAAGTCGTTGCTGAAGTCACCCACGTCCTCCTGTGCTAGAGCTTGTCGTGCGATAACTACGGATGTCAGCTTCCGAAAGCGGGGATTCGTATGACTCTAGGTCTGGCTTACCTTCAAAAGCTTGCTCGACGTTGATGGCCTCCTTAGCACTGGTCTCGAAGTACGGGATACCACCCTTCGATTGGCAAAATGTCATGGCGCGCTTAGACGAGATCTGGCGCTGTTAGTATGAAGCCTTGAACGGTCGCTACAGAGACTCACCATCCTTTTGCTCTCCTCCACATCGATTTTGTTGCCAATGACAACCTGTCCGCGTCAGTACAGATGTACACCCAATCTACCCGTATGCACCTACAAATGGGAAGCTCTCAGGATCCATCGGGCTGGCCTGAACCAAGAATTCGTCCCTCCAGCTATCCAGGGTATCGAAACTCTTCGAGTTGTTCACGTCGTATACGAGCACGCAGCAGTCGGCACCGCGGTAGAAGGCAACACCGAGCGATTGGAAGCGCTCTTGACCGGCAGTGTCCCAGAGCTATCGTACGTCAGTAAGATCCAAGCGCGCAGATTCACATGTACACACCTGCATGGTAACCAGCCTGTCGTCGACCAGCACTTCCTTGGTCAGGAAATCGGCACCAATCGTGGCTTTGTAGCTTGCGCTGAACTTCTTGTTGACCTGTAGAGACAGTATAAGCCAGTATTCATAGCCTGTAGCTATCACTCGTGTCGTGTATAGCTCTACGAGGGGTTCTTCGTACATATTGGTTCATCAAGCTCGTCTTGCCGACCCCGCTGTCTCCGAGGATAATGACCTGCGCGCATTAGCCGTGAAGGCAAGACCCCGTCGGGAACTGAAATACCTTGAGGAGGACCTTCTTCCTTGATGCCATCTTGTAGAGAGTGTGTGTAGGTAGGAAGACGAGGTACGGCGCGGTCGATTCGAGGCGCGAAGCTAGATGCTTCGAGGTGGTGCGGAGTTGGCTGCGCGGATACTAGGCCGAGGTAGAGGGTATGCGACGCCAATATTTAGGTCTCCGGGACGTTGGTCGAGTAGGGAAATCAAGGCACTGCGTTTATGGCGCAGATACGGTGAGGATAGGTGCAGCTTCGTTACCAGAGATCGATGATGGTTGATGTCAAGCTGGGCACGGACACAACGCTAGCCGCCCGTCCCATGGTCTGAGGTGCCCACGTCAACTCACGCGCCCACCTGACACCGCATTCACATTGACCGTCTACCCCCGCCGCTGATCCACGACTGTCCATGAAGGAGAGCTTCATCCTTATATCAATTCCCAACAGTTGCTCGTGTCATCGCCAATCTCCAACCTGGCGCGACTGAGTACCTAATCGATACCTCCAGGGATACCAGTAGATCACCTAAGCGGTAAAGTTTAAGGCTGCCAGTACGGGCCTGCCCAGGTGCTCACACATCGCTCGTAGTACTGAATTCACAGTGTCAAACCCTCAACTTCTCTACGATTTTTGAACACCACACCCGTAATTACCATCTTGAACTTGTACGGCGCTTCCTTTAAAACATTTGGATGGCATCAAACTGGACAACGTGCTGTATTTATGCTCGAGAGATAAGCGAGAATTTACTTGAAAGCTCTTGATATGGTAAAACGGCCCATCATCACATGAAAGAACGCCGTATCAAAGCATTGAGATAAATGAATTCTAAATGTATTACTCCTTGAGTATAGCATGAACACTTTGCTTTGCTAGACTCTGCATGTTTGGTCTCTGATAGCAAACTTACACAGTCAAACTATCAGTGATCTACTAAGTTTCGATTGTTGATTTCTGATCGAGTGAACTGGAAGAGACGCGATTCGGCCAGTGAATGCAAACACGTCTTGGCAGAGCGTCGATTTCACTATAACTGTAGTTTCGATAGTGCGTTCTTTCCTCGACCCAGCCAATACCACTGATCCTTTCCGCATCAATCTAGAGCGTCACAGCTCCAGAGATCAGTCCTTTGTCATGACGAACGCGGATCCCCTTCACTCGCATTTCATGGCGCTCACTAATATCGGAGGCACTTTGTCCGAGCAGGAACGTATACAGCTGATCAGTAGGTCGTTAATCGCCCCAAGCTCTCGTTGTCTTTGAGAGAAAACTGACTTGAAGATCTAGATACGCTGGTATTTCTGGTCCGTACCGAGTATCCTTCCGTCGCCAGTGTTCGCGACGTCAACCTGGTCACTATCCAAATATCATCCGACAGATATCGCATCGACGTAACATCCCGCAAAGGAACTATCATCTTCGGGTGGGACGTAAGAACACGCATTGAGGTGCTCGAGGGTCTCCGTGATGCCATAGAGAAGCGAGCAGCGCAAGTGATCTTGGAAACGAGCGGGCCACGGAACGGACGTGTGCTGGCAAAAGACCAGCCAAAGTCCCATAGACAAGACCCCAAGGCGTCATCGGATTGCCTGAAGCATGAGACTGACAAGTTTCTTACAAAGAAGGCCGATGGCGATTTTGCAAATCTAGACGCCATGCTCGTGAAGAACGACAACAATCATCAGACCCGGATACCTTTTCGCGCCGGTCCAAAGAGAAAGGCGCAAGATCAGAACGAGTGCACAAGGAAGAAATCCAAAGGAAATGACTGCGTCATGAATGACGAAATACTTGGCGAAGCAGAAGAGGAAAGGATGTCAGACCATGAAGGACATGAGGAAGCGATGGACAGCCAAATCGAAGGCGAACCAGAAGACATGGAAGAAGAAGACCCGCCTCCGTCTGTCAGTGCTGTGCTTGCAAAATATGCAGCTGGCGAGCCAAAGCGTCGAAAGTGGAGAGGTCGCACGGCTGACACGCCAATGAGGCACGATATGGATGGCATTGCTGAAGGGAACGTATCCGACGACGAGCAGGTCATCATTGGAGAGGATAGCGACTTCTGGCGCGAACGGTAGATACTACGCAGTCAACAGGCGGAAAGCCACGCGAGTGAAGGGTGTTTGGTGGTGGTGTTGGGTAGTAGCTGCCCCGGTAGCGGGAGTGCGAAGTCCGGCGCTAGCAGCCTAGCAGTCGCGATCATTCTGCGCGCATGTCCTTCGCTTTCTCACTCGTGTCAATGATGTCCTATGCACAGCGTTGACAATTAACTCCATTCTACATGAAATCTCGCTGATGATCGATCTTGATGGGTCTTGATGGTTTACTCATCCTACGCCGTACACGATGGTCTCTTCGCAACTTCCCCGTGCGGGGATCCGTACGATAGCCACGGTCCTGGTTGACGACCAGCTGCAACGCAATTGTATATGACAGCGCATCGGGGTTGAAACTCATTTCTGTCTTTTTACCTCTCATTTCTCCTACCACGCACACATTGTTACTTGGAAGATGTCGCAAACTACTACTACCGGAACCGAGACGATGCGCCTGCCAGCAACGATGAGAGCATGGCAATGGTCAACATGCGGTACCACCCTCGAGGAGGCAATACAGCTCAATGAGTCAGTACCGCTGCCGACAGCGAAGCGGCCACTCGCAAGTGGAGAATCTCTGATTCAGGTTCACGCTGCTGCTCTGAACCAGGTCGACTACAAGCTTGCAGAACTACCCATCGTTGGGCGAATGGCCATCCCTAAGCCAGCAACCCCCGGACTTGATTTCGCTGGAAGAGTCGCTGAAGTGGGACCGGATTGCGACCTCACGGTCGGGCAAATGGTTTTTGGCAAGCTCGAGCCGAAGCAACAGTTTGGCACATTGGGAGAATTCATCATCGGTTCAAAAGCGGGAACGGTGCCAATGCCCGATGGTATCTCAGCGGAGCAAGCAGCAACGCTGGGAGTCTGCGGTCTTGTTACATATCAGTGCCTCGCACCGAATGTAAAAGCCGGTGACAGAGTACTAATCAACGGTGGTTCAGGTGGTACGGGTACTTTTGCCATTCAGATCGCAAAAGCTCTGGGATGCTATGTCACAACGACCTGCTCCGGTAAGCGTCCAACAGTCGCGACAATGATGCATTTTCTGATCCCTCACAGCCGCAAATGTTCAGCTTTGCAAGGATCTTGGGGCCGACGAAGTCATCGACTATCGCCAGAACGATGTACCTACCATTCTGGCAAGCAGCTCAAACCACTATGACATGGTTCTCGACAACATTGGACATCAGTTTGAGCTATACTGGAAATCACCCTCCTTCACAAAACCTGCAGCGAAGTACGTCCAGATCGGATCTCAAGTGAGCCTACCCTTTATCTACGATCTCGCATTCCGCTTCCTGGTACCGACGTGGCTTGGAGGTGGGCAACGGCGATTCTCTTTCGGTCTTGCTTCTACGAACTTCGAAGACTTCACGAAGTTGGGTAAACTTGTTGCGGACGGGAAAGTGAAACCTGTCGTGAGTGAGGTGTATGCTTTCGAGCATGTACCCGACGCTTATGAGAAGCTCAGAACAGGCAGAGCGAAGGGAAAGCTGGTAGTCAAATTGGGAGTAAAGTGAACGACTGGCTGAAGCGAGAGCAATGCGTGCCACCCTCCAGATTTGAAGCGAGGCCAAACTGTGGGAACTTGTCGTTCGATGGCCGCAGTTGTGTTCGCGCCTGTAACCGAATTGCTTGCTGTGCACAATCTGTTCAGCCTCAGTTCGCAGAACCTCCCAATGGGGGATTAGTGCGCGAAAATGGTAATCTGGATAAGAAAAGGACCGTTGTTGCCATTCGCTCAGTTTGCGTGGACGCGCTCGTGGCGGCGCTAAGGCTGTTTCAGGCAACGAGGAGGCTGTGTTGAACGCCGATCTGCCTCAGCTGTGTATACCAATACGAGCATACATTCTACCAGGTTCCATATGGATCGATTCCAATATTTCGAAATGACATGTGGCAGTCAAGAAATAATGCAGTCCTACCCCGTTACTAACAAGAAGCGTGCGGACAAAATCGCGGATGTCACAGAGAAACTGTGACGCGCCTATATTACCCGAATACGTCTACCTTCAAAGCGATATGAGCGCCACATATTCAAAACAGGCAGGCAAAAGAAGACAGGAAGCCAGTCCGGAAGACAATGCTGAAGGAAGGAAACGGCTTAAACCAGCCATCGACCCAACATCATCACTGTGTACGGGATGTCAAATGCTTGACATCGACAACGTTTTCGAAGCGGCCCTCAAGTACTACAAACGCAGAGTGGACGATCCAGACAAGAAGTCGAAGCTCTACGAAGCTAGCGATGGAAGGCACTTCTACGCTGATGCAGTCTCGGTGCATCGGTTTGGCACGAGGCTGTCCAAGCCATCAGATTGTCCCTTGTGCGACTTCCTTCGATCTGTCAGAGTCCAGCCAGATATACATGAACGCTACAAACTACTTGCGTTCCCTAGCACCGATGCTTGGCTCTTCAATGCAGCTCGGGTGAGAACCGCGTTTAAAGATCCCGACTTCCTCGAGGAACGCCACGATACAGTATTCATGGCAGTCGTGCCAGATATAGAGTCGATCCCACCGACCGGGCACGATGCCTCATGGCTAGATTACGAGATTCCAGCTGTGGGGGCCATATTCTACAAGCCGGCTGCCGAGCCCAGCGACGGTCTCAACCAGAATCTGCTTGGAGCAAGAGAGCTTAAGAGTTCATTCGATCTTGAGCGGTTACGGTCATGGCTCGATTATTGCCGCAGTGGACACGGTACCGCCTGCAGACAACGTGCATCGGAAGAACCGGTAACCAGAGGCTTTCGTTTGATCAACTGTACCAAGGATCCTCCCGAGGTTGAAGACAAGCCGTGGGGAACTCCGTACGCTGCTTTAAGCTATGTTTGGGGATCTACACCCGCCGATCTGGAAGACTGGCCGGCAACTGTCATGGACGCAGTCGAGGTCACACGCAAGCTCGACTTTACCTATCTGTGGGTGGATCGGAGCTGTATAAACCAGGCGGATCCAGAAGAGAAAGGCTACCTAATTTCGAGGATGACCACAATATATGAAGCTGCTGAGTTCACCATCGTAGCAGCTGCAGGAAATGGTGCTAGCCATGGTCTTCCTGGGGTACGGAACACACCTCGCAAGCCACAGCCAAAGTACTACGCTGATAGCGGAAGTCTGCTTCTTTCTATGCTCCCTGACCCGCGGCGAGAAATACTCCAATCGCAATATTGGACACGCGGCTGGACATACCAAGAAGGAGTCCTCTCTAACCGCCGCATCGTCTTCACAGAACACCAGTTCTATTGGGAATGTCGATGTATGGCCTCGAATGAAAGCGCGGATGTGTCGCTGTTCCACCAACCCATAAGCCATGAGAACGATCCCAACACCATTCTGGTAGACTTCATGTTGAGCGGCATATTCAAAGGCGGTGCATTCAGCGGAGGCAGTAGTGCGCACCAGGGAGACTTGGTCATTGCTAATGACGAGGAGTATCGGCTGGACTATGGCTTTCCTGTCGTTGAGGAGATAACCGTTGGAGCGCAATTGCGAGGGCTGTGCGAACATATGCGTGAGTTTACGAAACGACGCTTGACACAAGCTACAGATACCCTGCCAGCCTGTAAGTAGTCTGCCTTGGCACTGCTGGTGTTACCAATACTAAATTCTGCGCCATCTCTAGTCCAGGGTGTTCTTGGAATGTACGAACAAACCACATCGCTGCATATGTTTCACGGAATACCTTTGTGGACGGGCGACATTGCTGGAAGCGCTGCCCCCGCTCAGATTACCTTCGCCTTGGCGATATCGTCATGGTTTCACCGCGCGGGCTCGCATCAGGCGATGTTTATCTCCGAAGCATGTATGCGACGTAATCATTTACCTTCGTGGACCTGGTAAGAGAGCCGTTGCGCGAGCTGCGCGTAAGACATTGACTGACTTCGTATCTTGAACTTTAGGGCTGGCTGGGGCGGTACAGTCAGTTGGCGGCTACCTCCCAATACTGAATATTGCGCTTATCTGAGTGATCTGATCAATGCCACAAGCCCAAGTCTCGTGTGGGGTGCGAATATGTATCTCTCTCATCCTGGACGTCCAGAGGTAGTACGGCTGTTAGACCAAAACTCGGCGCTTCGTCTGGCCAACGGCACGTTTTCCACACTGGAGATAAAGAATCCGTTTCTCTTGAACAAGTTCCAACCGGTCAAGGAAGTAAATCGAGAATGGTCGTGGGGCAGACTGGTTGGGAGGATTGGTCGCGAACGGTATATGTCTCACCGTGTTGACAAAGCCACAGACTGGTGGAGGATAGGTGGTCGCCTCGCTTTCACCAGCATGTCAATTGACATAACCCAACAAGAGTGGACTGCCAAGCACGGCTCTGGCGAGTTCATAAGTGTTTTGATCTTTGTTGGGAGATTCCTCGATGTTGAGCACGGGTAAGTGTATCCGTACGAAATGTATATGAGACACACACTGACCTCGTACACCTTGATGTAGCGCGGCACGGTTTTTGACGTTGCGAAAGGTACCTCATTCAAATCCTGTTGTGTGGGAGCGAGTCGGCATGCTTTCTTTGGTGCTTGGCTACATAGGCAAGACCCGGAGCGTTTCGGGTCTTTTTTACCTGACGCCAGCTCATACTCGGAGTGGTTCTATAATGATCCAATGAATTAGCGACTGTCGCGACTAGATGTCAAAAACGATTGTGCAACCTTAGGAGTTGCTGTGAATACCCTGGGGCGTGTGCGTTCAAGAAATACGGCTAGCGATGGTAAGATCGATGCTGCAATTCCAAAGGAGTGTACACTTAGTGCTCTGTAGAAACTCAAGGTGCATACGGTTCGTTGAGGATATACTTCCAGGGTGGTGATGGGTTAGACAAAGTTCGTGATGTACGTCATGTAGCCGCACCCCACATATACCTTGGCAACAGCATCCATGAGCCGACGTCTTCACACGCCCATCCCGTACTTCACCCTGAACGGCAGAGGCGAAAATTGAAAGAAGAGCCGCGATCCTCAAGCTTTTCAGTGACATATGCACAAACATGCAGAAGGTTTCGGTCTGGGCTGACGAGCTCGGTCAAAAGCTGATAACCTAAATAGGAAATCCCACCCAGACATGTCGCATCTCCAAACATGGAGGAATTCACATTCCCATCTTGTCGCGCACGTCCGAGCCCTGGCATGCCAATTATTCTAGGCCGGCAGCCTCAAAAGTACCGGTTCGGTAGAGAAGCCCGACCATGCGAGTGATCCCCGACAGGGGCCAGGGTAAAAGGTGTTAGGGCGAGCAGGTAATGTACCCGCTCAAGTGCATGTTATGTGTCACTGGCGTATGGTACCGAAGTGCCGATGCGAGGTGTGCTGGTACCATGGTGCATGTATCAGGGATGTGGGGAGTGTGTTCTAGAATACTGGCTAGTGTGGAACGTGGTTGCAGGATTTTCATGTGGTGGCTTTGTGGTACGAGTTGTAAGGGGCGAGTATCGTGAGATCCATTTTAGGAAGGCACTTCCGATGTAAGGTACTATGAAGCGGTGTGAATTGGTCTGCCTGATGGGTGGGTCCGGTGATGCTCTGTGAAGAAGTGTACGCCATGAACAGACCTTGCGCGGCCTCAGCGGCTCATGTATACCTCTCTGTTCATGTGCCCAGAGGTGAAGCTAGTCAATGATTTGTGAGTTACTTCAAGAAAGCATGAGCCAAAGATATGTCAGAGCGTAGAAGTTGATTCTGCTTGTACTGTGTATTACTTGCTATTATGCTAGTCACGAATTGTGATCTATGAATTGAACTTTTCTTTGTGCCAAGGAAAAACGCCTGCTGGATGTCCATTCGATGCAAGAGCGGCTCAGCCTGAGCTCAACCCGAAAACACCAGCAATGAGCCGAACGCCGTAAAAAAATCCAATAAGAGTGGCGAGCATGTAAACGCGACGCCGGGTATATCCTACAGTCCACTAGTGATAGTTCCAAGCGAAAATAGACCAATGGCACAGTAAGGAGATTCGTGAAGCGTCGATGATCTCATCGTAAAATGGGGTATAAGCGAAGAAAGGAAATAGGAAGCTCGCAGCTATTGCTCCAGACTGAAGCTTCCGGAGCGGGAGCTGCTGTTGGAGAAAGGAAATTCGCAGTCGTCGACGTAAGTCGGGGGGCTGATAGGAACGTCTTCGTAGAGAGGAGGTTGCTCCTCATCCCAAGCAATACCCATACCAGAGCGCTCAGTGAGCACGAGGTGGAACTGAGTGCGGAGAACGCGAGCGGCGCCAGTAGGAGTGGCTTGGTTGAGCTTCTTGAGGGGTGCCCACTCTTCAGCGACAACCATCTCAATGATGAGGTTGTGCTTGACGCTCATGCCGCTTGGGCTCTCCATGTCGCAAAGAGGCTTCAGGCCGACGTTGCAGGCGGCCTGAAACTCGACGTCAATCTCGCCCTTCTCAAAGTCGGTCTTCCAGCCAGTCTTGACCTCCTCGCTGGCGATGGCGCGAACATCCTCGTGAAGGACACCCTTGCCCTCACCCCCGACCTTGGAAATGTGCTTGGCACAGGCTGGAGCAATGAACTTCTGCGTCTCCTCAATGCGCCAGTTGAGCTTGCGGAGCCTCCATCGTGTTTGTGAGTCTCCTTTGTTCTGCACGATACCAGATAGGCGCATCTCAATGGGGAAGTCACCAATCGGGTGGATGACCGGGGGTAGCTTCACTGAAGCGGTAAGGTTCGTGGGAGGAAAGATGCGAATAGAGTGCTTCTCGGCTCCGGGAAAGATGGCGCGCTTGATGTCCAGATTGCGCTTGTAGGTAATCTTACCCGATGAGGTAGTAGCAACAGCGGAAAGGTAGTAATCGACTGTGGCGAGGCTACCATGTGTAGTCGCAGGCAGGTGTCCCGGCAGCAAGTGGCTGAAGGGGAATGTGTGTGGGCCATGACGCAGCGAAGTAGGATGCGTCAGGAACTCCCACTTGTGGATTTCGGTGGTTTGCGTGCTGCAATCGGGGCAGTGTGGGGCGACAGGCTTCTTAGTGGAAACGATGGCGAGCATGCGCATCTCGAATTTTTCCACGGTGACGTAGGGGTCATGAACGTTGATGACGAGCTGACCCGAGAAAATAGCGCCGGTCGAAGACTGGGGGCTGTTGTAGAAGACAATGGGCGGCGACTCAACGCTCATGTTCATGGAAGCCGCGCCCTGAGCCTCAACCTTGGGGCTCTTCTTGACTTCCTCTTTTTCTTTCGCATGCTTGTCATGCTTGTGGCGGTTGAAGATGTCCATGACGAGCGACTCTTCCGACTTTGACTTTGCTTTTACGCGGGGTGCGTCGTAGGAGTAGACGGGCGGAAGCAGGCCTTCAGCGTGCGGTTTGATGTGGTCCAATTTAGGCAATGGCGTGGGAGCCACCCTCGCGAGGGTGCTCAACAGGCGACCGGGCATGTCTGATAAAGAATCCGGGGTAGGGCTGAGATTGAGTGACGTGAGTGGATGTTGGCAGGTTTGAATCTGCGAGATAAGGAGCTGTCCAATGGAGTGAGGGAGTGGGCCGAGATCCGATATGCAGGTGCAGCAACTGTTGAATGCGGCGGCGTTCAAGAGTTAACCTTGTGGGAGTGGAGGTGGTTATAGAGAGTCTGTGGCAGGAACATGTTCTAGCTGTCAAAGTAACCAAAGGGGTAGCTCGGGGTAGGGCGTAGTCTTATTTAAAGGCGTTCAGCATTTTGAGGGAAGTTTTACATGAGAGAAACTCGATTTCGCATGATTTCATCGGTTATACCAGATGCAGGGATTGCGCACGCCACGCTAACGGGTTCTGGCAAGCACACCCCTGCGCCTTCCATGGAATTTTTGGGTCAGGAGGAAGGAACGCACGGCCTGCCGCTCTCGCGATCGCCCAGTAGCTGTCGTGCCTGCCAACTAAAAAGACGTCAACACCTGGGAAACCTTCTCAGCTGAGCTGGTACGAGAGCGTCGTGATTGTCGCGCCCTATACCGGTGTATGCAGCGCATTCCCCATCACCATGCATAACCAAGCGCTCGCTGCTGACCGCCGATTCATCACCAGGCCGAACGCATTCCGAATTCCAGCTCGTGCTTTGGCCGCCGCCAACAAGCACCGTGGTGGCTTGACTATGCGGCCAACATGTGTGACTCGCCGACGGCCATTCACTTCAGCACACATTGTACCAGAGAGTCTCCACCCGGAAACCCTGGGGTGCTCGTCCATCGCAACGGCACACTGTCCGCCCGCTAGCCATCATTCGCTGACGCACATCTGATGCGCTGTTCCCCGCAACATGGCGTTCTGATCGCCTGCAAAGTGCGACTCTGGGGACGAATATTCGAGCATCTCCTCGGACTGCCCATACACCGGCGCGACTCCCCGCACTCCTCAAGGGCGCGCATCGTCACGTCAGGAGGTGCACCTGACACGTATTTGATGACCGCTTATGCGCCCTACTCGACTACATTGCGCATTGCTAATTGTGCAACGTCTTCGTCAATCCACAGTCATATTCGTGCTCATCGTGATGGCGACAGATGCCAAGCCGCGCCGGCGTTAGGTAATGCAACGAGTTTTTCCTACACCCACCGTGGAGCGAGAAGAAACGCTGACTGGGTACTCCACCTGTCCCAGATCCTTTACAGCTTCTTTGCACACTTTGGCGTTCCGGCCCGATATTGGCTGTTACCTACGATGCGTCGTGTCAAAGCCTCCACTTGTTGAGGGACCAGACTGGTCTACATTACTCGATGGAAACTGCACCGGTTCCGATCACGCAACCACTTTCGCGTCGGAAATGCCCGACGAGTCCATGTGGATCAGGGCAGACGAAGCCTCCAAACACCACCTAGAAATCTCACGATACTTCGCTTAACAACGGCGACGCTTGCATGGCGTCCGCGATCTGCCAAGACTGAAGCGCCCGATTCGGTAAAACAATTGCATTCTCTGCATATCTCTGGTTACCTGAACCATACACTGAGTCCATGTGGCGCACCCATGGTTCGTTCAAGGATCTCTTTCCCGTTGACATGTGCAACTCAGCATGCCACGCGTAGCTTCAGGGTTAGAGTCATCATGGCGAAATTTGACCTGAAACTGACGCCATCCAATGGCCCGTGAACGTGTCATGGCGGGACCACACTGGCAGCACGAACACCATTTCACCGCTTCTGTGGTTGCTGAATGCAGACACAACTCGCGGTGTCTAGACCTCTAGAACGGTGCCCTGCATTGCGGCTCTCTGTAGCCTCATCCGGGCGCAAAGCTTCGATCTACGACGGGCCGATTCGGTATACCTCTCTTGATCTCCAGTCCAGTATTGCACGGCGCTCCCGTTGTGGCGCTTTTTGCATCGGGGTCTTTTCCGTCGTATTAAGGCTGTTATTGTCACGAACCAAAGTAAGCATCATGGCTTCTAGCTTCGTCGGTCTCGCTTTCTGTACTGAACGCCGAGCAACCCCGGATCGGAATGCGGAGTAGCATCCGGAACATATCAAACTCATCATTCCGAGAACCGCTTGTTTTTCCTATAGCACTGCCTCCGGGCATATTCAGAAATCTCTGCGCATGCCACTGACAGCTGGACAGGTGATACACGCAAGCGCGTCACCAGGACACGTCTGAACACGCCTTATACCAAGTGGATCGCGTTTGGCGAGACATGGTTTTCTCGCAACGAGTGTACCCGCACCAACGCATCGCTAGTACCCGCATAGGAACAGTACCAAGATCTCCCACGTACGTCGATCTACCGTGGACAGAATGCAACAGCTTTTTCTAGTACATGTAGCAAGATTTTCCACGCCCCATAAAACACCAGAACGGCGCAAATCTGCATCCTCACTTCCTACCTGGAATAGCTTCAATTGAAGACATGGTGGATTCGACGTCTCGCTGCATATCTTTAGACGACGTAACCCACTTTCCATCAAATCACCTTCGGACTCAGCCGCTATTCGTACAATTGGAGACGATGCGCTGTGCTTGAGCTCTTTTTGCAGCTGTGTTCAGGATCGCGACTGAGTAGGCACGACGCATGCTCCACAGTCAGCGCTTGCGCGGAAGATATTGCAACCTTCTCCTTAGCATCGTGTGGAGTAAGTGGGTACGGCATTCGATTCGAGCTAAACGTGTTCTCGCGTGTGACATCGCAAACTTTTCTTAGGGATCCCTGTTCCTGTAAACAGACTCACGCCATGTATCCCCACCGTCAGACTCAGAAAACTCCATTAGCGTAGAACGAGTGTTTCGGACATCGCGTTGAAACCAGGACTTTCAAAGTAGAGAATAAGTCACGCATGAGCATGCAGTTGAGGAAGTGGCAGGTGCATCAATTCATTAGATCGTGCTACGTGCCATGTAGACCTTCACCCATCCTGTTGTCCGAACCCTAGACTCCATACTATGCAAGCCGTGTTGGTATCTTCAAGTGGTATCGTAGATCTACTCGTCGTCCTCATCGGCCTCGTCGTTGACGACGTTGAAGAAGCGGAGCTCGTAGACGCCCTTGGAGGTGGAAACGACGCGGAGCCAGTCACGGAGCTGCTGCTTCTTGAGGAACTTCTTGGTGCTGTCAAGCTATTAGCCAACATCCTTCCCTCTGAAGCGCCAGGTGTTCAACATACAGGTACTTCAGGTAGCGGCCAGAGAACTCCTGGTGCGCAATGACCTCGATCTTGCCATCGCCCTGCTGGCTGATCTGGATGGTATCACCAAGGTTACCGGTGCGGCCCTCAACCTTGATGCGGTCGTGCAGGAACTTCTCGAAAGCCTGGATGTCGAAGATCTTGTCGTTGACGGGCTGCGAGCAGTTGATGATGAACTTCTTGGTGACCTTTTGGCCCTTCTTGGCGGCAGCGGAGCGCTTCTATAACTTGAGTACTTAGCCTACTGTTCTTGTGCGCGTGGGGTGCTCCCTTGCGCTGGACAGCAAAGCGGTTGTACGTACGGTGGTGGACATTTTGGCGGTATGGGGAGGGGAGCGCAAAGAAATGGATATCCTGCGTCTGATTTGGAGGGATTGGAGAATGAGTGAGTGTCGCGCGGTGCGCCAGAAGTTCGAGCAGTTCAAAATTGTCGGCACGATGGTGGGGTACTAGTCCCGAAGGGGCTAGTGGCGCCGAGTGTTCGAGTAGCTCGGTACCTGAGGTCATCATCATCGTTGTTGATGCCTCCCAGCAATTAAACGCTCTGACTATCTTCATTACATTCCGAAAACTCAATAACCTCCGCGCATGCCTTCTATGAGGGGCGCGACACGTCTGCTACATTCACATCACGAGCCAGCAATCCTCATCCCTTAATGCGAGCGCGATCACTCGTCTGTACATCTTTCAACAGTCAAATGCGCGTAAGAAACCCATTACACTATTGAACAGACCGTCTGCCAAGACGATTGGTACTATGTTGTCACATCTAGCGTTTCTAGTCTAGCTCTATTGCCCCATTCCAAGGTCATTACAAAGGACATTGCATTCCAAGGTTCACTCCGTCACCCCATCTGCATGATACAGCACTATCGAAGAGGCCGGGAGCCCGGGCAGGAGTTGACCAGATATCATTAAGCCGTTATTGCCGACGTAATTGCCCCTATAGATGACAATCTTCCTCAGTTTCGGCGAAACCGGCTGCGCAGACGCGAAAACAAACCGCTTCCGCGATTGATTTCACCCTCGGCGTGCAATGCCTCCTCTTGCATAGAGTCGATGAAGTCGCCATCTTCGGCCTCCTGCGCCTCACTCTTGAGCCGTGAAACAGGCTCACGTGCGCGAGCTTGACACATCTCTGCACGGCATTGCGGGCATGCGTTCGCACCGTTCATAGCTGACTCATTGACCCAGCTGTCTAGACAGACTTGATGGAAGTAGTGAGCACACTTCGTAATCACTGGTCGTTCTTCGTTCTTGTTGTCTTCGTGGACATCGACCATACATACGGCGCATGCGACACCCTCAGGAACGCTCTGCACTGGTTTGCAGAAATCCTCGATCAGAATACGCTCGCCAGTCGGTTGAAGATCGTCATCCATGTCCGAATTGACATCATCGTCAGAATCTCCTAGGTATGTGAAGGGAAGTTCTATGGTGCTGTGCAACATCCCATCCTTGTAACCCCGACTTGCTTCGACAAACTCGCGGAAGCTCATGTTCGAGCGGCACGTAGGTATGTGCGCTTGGCTCATAGCACTTAACACTTGTACTGTCGCGGGCTCAAGGAAAGCTGAAACGATCCAAAAGGCTTCTCGATTAGTTAGTGGAGGCAAGCTAGATACTTCCCTGAAAGCTCGAGGGCCGGAAAGGCGTCGACCTTCTAGCTTTGCTTCGCAGAACGTGGCGAGTTCTCTAAGATGCAACTCGCGGAGTGCGGGACAATCACGACATTCCATTTCCAAGTAGTTCTCCAAGTCTTTGCAGTAACGCTGGATCTGCTCCGGAGTCGGATGCTGTGTTAGGAAAGCCGTCAGAATGATGGCAGTCCTCTCTAGTGTCGCGAAGAACCAGCCGACGTTTTTTGCCGATACCTGGGACACTACTCCTGGTACCACGATAGCCAGGCTAGGAAAGTATCTGTGGAGTTCATCGAGATCGGCGCGGAATTCTTCTGGAAAGAGTGCGAGGCTTGCGTGCCGTAACCAGCTCATTCTGAGTCCGGAGGGGGTGGCTGCGTAGAGAAACAAGCGAATCATACTGAATGTTGCGTGAAGGTTGAGTTGGACTTTTTCGAGTGCGTTGATGATAATGAAGAAGGGAATAATAGAGACTTTTATGACTTCAAGGTCATGAGTGCAGGTGAACGTAGAAAGCGTTCGTTAAGAACTCGCTGATCGAAGGTTAGCGAAGTCGCCGGACCGTACAGTAGTGAAACGCCGCGAAGGAACGAATCTAAGTAGGCACGATACTGCTACCTCAAGGTTGGTGACAAATTGTGGTGAATCAGGTGCGGTGAGAAACTGGCTATCTGGTCGACTCTGGTACAGGCTTTCCTTCAACATTCTACGATGTATCTCTTGACTTGACTACTGCATTGTCCATCCGCAGATATCCAACGGTTTTACCAGCTTGCTTCGCCGGTTACATGCTCTCATCTGGGGTTGCTTGTACGTTGTGCGCCGAAAGATTACGCCCATCTGGTCACTCTTCACGTGCGCCTTATGATACCTTGATCGCAATAGTCGAAGCAAAAGATTTTCCCTTACCTAAATGTTCAGCACATATTATAGATCGCTCTCGCCAGGCGACATACCTAGGTATCCAGCTGAGTTGCGTCTGACGCTAGAATGCATGCACGCTATGGGTATTCGCAGCTTCCCGTCTTCCTACTAGACGAGGCTCCACGGTAAAACGCGGAAGACGGAAGTAATTGCTCACTTCCACGCTGACTTTTCGACGTCGTTCTGAAGCAAAAACCGGGTGTCGGAAAGGACCCCTGGCACGTACCGCGATCAGCGTGTTCCGAAAAGAGTATAGTGTCTGAAACGTTCCGAGACCCGGTAGCATCATCGACTGATGCGATGCGATAGGCGGATGTCCTTGCATCGCCTTCTTGACAACCACATCAAAAAGACGGATAATAAATGCCGTTGCATCATATTCGGACCGCATCGCGTATCAGGCGTCCAATGTGGTAGCACTGCAAGGCAGACACGAGTGGCTGCCTAACGCGGCGCAGTATTCATATGGCAACCCGCCTTAAGATTGCGTCCATCTCACGTTTTCCTTCCGTCATCCATCGCACATCTCTACCCAGAAACTCAATCATGCTGTTCTCGCCAGTGATGCGCAATGCCGTTCTCCAGGCAACCGCCATCTGCACCGTCTCGCTGCTCTACAGCCATTATGCCGAAGAAAACATATTCGCCGAAGTAACGCAGGATGAAACATTCAAGACACTTCTCAACCTTCTCACCAATGGGACATTGTCCAATGCTACCATTCCTGGTTTAACAGACCAGACTGGCCAATTAGCAATCGATGTCAAACCCACGGTTAACACCTCCGACGGTACCTCGTTCTCCCTTGCCCTCCAGTATGGCAACGAGACTAGAACTGGACTCAATGGTACCAGTGGAATCAATGGGACTGCAGGTAGTGAGATATCGGAATCTTTCTATCGGCGAAAGTTGCCAAGAGAAGTGATCATTTCACTAGCGCTCGCTATACTGCAGTATTGGTGGCTCATTGGCCTTGAAAGGATCTTGCCTGCTCGACCGAGATACCGAGACGCCCCAGCGCAGCAAAAGGAGCAAGTCGAAGAGAGCGAAGATAGAGAGGAAGAGGTGGTGAAGAAATGGATCGCACAGGGCAGAGTGCATCGAGCGTCATTGAACTGGCGCAATACTTTCGTCAAATGGGTGCTCGACATGACAGTTGGCATGCTGTCTATATTCACCGTGGAGCATATGCTTCGGCAGCTTCTCAAAATGAAGTCACCAATGTTGATCTTCAAGGGCTTGGGTGAAGTAAGTTCTTATCTTAATTTTTCGGCATGGCAGCCCACTAACGTGCCGACTAGCACCTTATCTTCAACTTCTTGGGCACATTTTTCTCCGTCACTCCGCTTGTTCGCCTTGCTGCATTCATACTCGCTCCAGCCTACAAGCAGATAATCTTCATCGAAGGTATCCAGCTAGTCTGGACGGTCTTCGCCTTGCAATTCTTACGCATAACAGCCTCATGGGCAGTCAAAACGGAGTTTATCCAGACCTTCATGCAGAATATGACCAGAGAGCACGAGGCAAACATGAAGTATCAACAGTATAGAACTATTCGGGACAGAGAGCTGTGAGTCTGTAGACTAGCAAATACTACCATTCAATCGAACTTTCCACCTCTACACTACCGCCAGCTTGGCGTTACGGGAATAATCGTACTCAGTCTCGTCTGCCATGTTTCCATCAAAAACTGTCTTTCCTATCTTCCCCGACTTATCTTCATAGTCCAACCACATGAGCGCTTCCTTCACTAGATCTGATGGCCCGGCAACGGTTGGCACATGCCATTGGTCCGCTCCTTGGCTCACAAAGTTTGCGTGTGCACTGTCCTGTGCCTGGGCGATGATGCGCGCGCAGTCGATGCGTGAAAAAGAGGCTCGAGGTATTGCAGGAAACTTCCCCTTGGGTTCAAAGGCCTTGATAAGAGTTGAAGTCCATGCGTGAGGTGTGTCCGGAAGTGATTTGTCGAATGGTAGGTAAGGAAGCCGGCGGTTCATGTACCAGGCTTCCCAGCCCGTTCTTGACGGCGCTGGCGCTGCTGGCGTTTGAAAGGCTAGTTTTGAAATACCCTTCTTTGGCTTCCTTTTGGGCTTCGCGCTCGAACCTAAAGTCTTGTCACGAGGAACTTTAGGTGTGTTCATTGGTGTCTTTGACGTCCTGGCCGTCAGTCGCTGACTCAACTTTGCAATATACTTAGCGAGCAAAGTCAAGAGCTCTGCACACTTCTTACACAGTCTCTCGCCCAGTTTTGGTTTCGGTACTCGGGGGTGGGGCGTCTCAACGGGTCCTGACCTGACGTGATCCTCATAGGCTTCATCACTCAAGATTTCAGACAAAGGCACGTCTCTGCGCCTTGTTCGCGTCGTCATACTGGATTCATTCTCTGATATGGTGTAATGTTCGCCGGCTGGGAAGAACTCATGGCGATCACTTCTGAATGACGGCTCTTTGGGTACCGAATTGGTCTGCGGTCCAGATGTAGATGCGCCTGTACCAATAGAAACAGCATGATGTGAGTCTGCGGTGTCGTGCCGCAGCGCTGCAGAGCTTCGCTGGAAGGGGATTGGGGGTGCTGGCCTAGGGTTGTCCAGCCAAGCTTCAGCCTTGAGTTCCAATACACTGTCGCTATCTTTGATTGACAGTGAATCGCAGTTCGTAAGTGGCCTCTCAGGGATTGGTTCATGTCTCGACCTTCGCATTTCCAGTAGGAAAGGATTACTAGTCTTTGATGGCGTCAGGCTGTCAGGGCTCTTATGCCGGGTATTGTGTGGTGGTTTAGAGAACTCACCTGCATGAACTTCGCGGCGATCTACCTTCCTATGTTCCGTCCTTAGGAACTCTTCGGCGGTACAAACATCCCATGACTGAGGCCAGCGATCCTTTCGGAAGTTGCGGTCAACGGGCGAAGGAGGTGAAGTCTTTGTCTTTGTGGAAAGTGTGCTGGAGTTGCGAAACGTGCGAGGCTGATAACCCGAGGATTGAGTTTGGCTAGCTAGATTGTCCCACTCGTATCGCCAGTCTTCGTTTTCCTCGCCTTCATGTTCCAGATCTCTTTCATGACCGGCACCGCCCCTCAAGCCGGAGTCTGGGTGGTCATCAGTGCGGAGGGTTGTTTCATTACTGATTCCAGGCCAGATGGTGTTCTCCGAAGATCTCCTAGCTTCTATTGGCGGCTTCGAAGCGTCGTCTTTATACGTAGATGTAGCATTGCTTCTAGCGTAGTCTTCCTCAATGAACATTGCTTGACAATAGTCGCAGTGCTCTCGGTGTTCGTCCAGCTGCATAGCCCAGACTTCGCATTGAGCACCTCTTGTATACTTGTAACTTCTGGAGCGCTTGTCTCTGAACTGAGGATTCAGTCGCTTTGTATGTTGCCATTCAAAGCGGCTGATGCTATCCTCGTGCCGTTGAACGAACTTGACAGGGAACATAAGACGGCCCAGTCTTATGCTCAAAGGACTTTTTGCCGTAATGATCGCCTCGTTTGAACTTAAGCTAGGAGTATTTGGTGCCAGCGTACCATAGGATTTCGGAGTGATAGGTGGGACACCTGGTGCAGCAGGCAACTTGGGATTTTGTAGCGGGAACTCTCGGTTGCCGTGTGCATCATGGTTCCAGTACTCAGAATGACTACCACCGCCACGAACGGATAACAAACATGGTTGTTTTACCTCTTTCATCTCAGAGAAGCTCTCACTGTCAATTACAGGATGTACCTGAAACATACAGAACTTCGGCGAGCTGGTTCTAAGCTCGTCTTTGACTGCGTCGTTGAGCGAATTAACCAAATCGCCAACATCTTGGTAGTAGTCTTGCTCTTCTTCGCTCGATGCGGTTCTGACCGAGGTACTGGTAGACGACTTGGATGTTTTTAGATCGATATCAAGCTTCGTTAGTAGCTTCCCGAGAACGTCCATATCTTCCTCATGCACCTCCCATGTAGCTATCTCTGTTTCGCGATTCAAGTGACAATCACTCGGAACATCGCATATGCTGATAGTGACACGCTCATCGCTGACGTTCTCGGGCAACTCTATACCCATCTCTTCACGGATCTTCATGATCTCTAAGACGCGCGCGATATATGGATCGTCGGCGAGCGATTGTTCCCCGTCATCGATTTCAAGGATGCGACAGATTTCAGGCAGTGTCGACCTGTGAGGAAACTGGTATAGGTGCGGAGAGGCACCAGCAAAGACTATGGTGGATTGTCTCGGATAGAAGTCGAAAGATTTCGCTGCGATAATGGCACACGTACGGGAAGGGTCGGAGAGGAATGCTCGTGGAGTCGTTTCCTTCGTAGATGTCGCTGGTGATGATGGGTCTTCGTTACCACCTCGCATCGTTCCTAGGCTTGACGATTCCATACGGATTTCGTCAGTCAAAGCCACGTCTTCTTTATCGTCCGTGCATACCGTACGAGATGTAGTACTCTCGATTAAAACCATCAAGCGGGTCTTGAGAACCTCCAGGTCTTCAGCGATCGCGTTCTTTTCTACCAGTACGGCCTCAACCCGCTCTTCCATCTCCACCTGTACATCCATCTGCCAACGTAGGTCCTGCATGAGACTGTGATTTAGTTCTTTGAAGTTCTCGAGTTCTCGTTCGAGAAAGCAGTTGCGTGTTTGTAGTACATTGGCCAGAGTCATCCAAAAGTCCCCACGTTGAGAGGCTGGAGGGCCCACACATAATGTCGCGGCCTCTTGCATGAGCGGCTCAAACATGCTGCTAGGATCGTTCGCTGCGCTCTCGTTCTGGAATGACGGGTCGGTTTCGTAACCACTTCCGCCGCGAATTTGTGCGCCGGCTACTTCTCTTGTGCGATTTGTGAGAAAGAGGTTGTTGTCGTTGACCATATACATCTCACCTTCATCTCCGTCAAAGTTCCAGTCCCCACCCGTTAGGATATCCCAGCTTAATCCCATGGTCTCCCACCAGCTTGCGATCGCGTGTTTGAACACCTGCTTTGATTGTATCTTGTGGATCGCAACTTCTTGCCAGTGTCCGTTTCCACAAGCCTTTTGCTTCCAGGCTTCTCGTTTCACGAAATCTTCTGTTGCTCCTGTTGGGAAATAGTAGATTGTCGCGGCGCTGTGGAAAACAAGCTCGGGCTTTTTGGTTCCGGGAATGACGAGACCTGGAGGTAGATATACGAGAATGTAGTGGACGGTGGAATCGCCGACCCGAGTTGCGGCTCGCTGGCAGAGTAAGTGTGGTGAGGCTAGGATGAGAGTAGGGACACTGCTGGTATCGATATGCTCGCGACTGCCATCGTGATCAACCTCCTCTTCTCCACTTCCACCACGCAGACTCGGTTCATCCTCTTCCTCCTCTTGGCGGTCTTTCGATCGAGAAACAATGTCGCGGTGCGCCGTCTCCATAAGCGCATGCACCTGCTCTTTCAAGAGCTTAACCTGCTGTCGCAATTTCCGGATGATCTCTTTATCGCGACCACTACTCTGGTTTCCATTCATACCCTCCTGTTGCGACGAAGCGTCCATTTGATCCCAATTCGTGTACCCACCATAATCATACACGAATTCTTCGTCCTCGTCTCTCCCACCCATTCCGCCTCTTAATGTTGCATTCATGTCTCCACTATCAATTTCATATCCACGCTCACCGCACGTACAATATGGCTCGCCGTCGTCGTCGTCGTCATCGTCATACTCCTCTTGCGTCTCGTAGATAGTACTGAGTATGTCTCCAAAGATCATCTCCTGTTCATGCAACATTTCAACTAGCAAGTCGTGCCATTGATCTTGCGCATCGCATCGGCTTGTCAAGGCTCTCATTCCAGCCTCGTTTCTTTCCATACGATCCTGGAGTCGGAGGATAGCCATTTCCGTTTCGATCTGTCGCAACGTATCTGGACAAGCTTGCTGTGAACGTCTTCCTTCTGGGCTAGGCGCATTGCTGCGCTCGAAGTGGCGTGACGGACCAGAAGCGTTCGTCTCAGTCATCGACTCATGCGGAAGCTTGGTATCCACTCGTGGCCGACCAACAGGTGCCCGATCGCTCCTTGCATGATTTGTATACCCTTCATTGTGACCTTCCTGCCACAACCTCGCCATGTCTTCCCAGTCCCCCTCAAAGTAGACCCTAGACGATTCGTTGCCGTCAGTCACGCCCACAGCGTCCAAGACTGCTTGCAGAATGGCATCTAGGCCCTGTAAATCCTCATGTAGATGTTCAAGACGGCTTTCCATTTCCGTTATCACCTCGCGCTCGGCATCGTCTCGACCGTCTAGGCAGTCCTTCAGCGTCGTGTTATTCTCTCCCAACATCGCGTTCTCCTCTCTCAACAACCTGATCTCTTGATCGGCCAAGCCGAGCTCTCCTTCGAGCACCTCTATCTGGGAAAATGCGAGGGCGAGATCGTGGCTTAGGTGTCGGATTTCTGCTTCGACAATACGTGTATGAGCAAAAGAGTGCAAGCGTTGGTCTGCAGCGACATATTGCTCGTGATCGTTATCAGCGTGCCTAAGACGGTCTCGGCGGTGTTCACCCGCACCTGATCTTCCTGATGATCGCGGCATCTTCGTACAGAAGAATTCCGGCAGTAGTCGTATAAGTGTAGGAGGCTTGCTTGGTTGTAGAAGGACCTGGATTCAGCAGATGATGATAAGTGGGAATGCTGATATAGCAGTTGTCAAGAGGTCGAAATCAATATCGTGACAGGAGAAGAGTATAAGAACAAATTGCTGAAACCGCGTACTTTATGTAAAGAACCAAGACCTGAATGCGTGACACTTGCTTCGATGAAGGGGTTCTGCGTGAAGCGACTCGCAGTATTGAAGCGTCGTCGCCGTGACAGAAAAGCTAAATTTGATGCTCGTATACTAAAAGAAGAGGCGAAGGTGAATGCGCTCAGCACACAGCACGCGCAAAGATTATCATACCGTTCTACACGTAGGAACCAACAGCTAACAAGGGGTATACAACAGCTGCGAATGTCTAATGACGTGGATGAAAGGCGCAAACAGCATTGCGAACGCATGAGAAGATGATACATTCGCCACGTTGTACCTACAAAACAATGTCTATGAAGCTTGACAACAGAGCCGCGAAGGGCTTAAACCATATCTGGGTATACCGTGCATGATGCCCTTGTAGTAATGCGCCGTACAGAAGAAGAAGTGAAGCGCCAAAAGTCTAAAACGAAACCTAAACTGAACTCCACTCGGCCTTCAGCCGTACAAGGACCGATAATCGCTAATGAACTAAACACGTTGAACCTCAGGCCGTGAAAAGGAAATCATGACTCTAGAAAGATTACAAGATTGTAAAGGGGAGTCGTAGCACCGTGAAGTCGGTACCACCACGTGTTGAATGCCAAGCTCCATGTCGCAAAATAGCCGGGCGCCATCATGTCGCTGTGCCGAATGCCCAATGTAAAACACTTTTAGTTACCAACCCGTTCGGAAAGACGACCGCGCTCAATCTGCTCCACGCGACCTTTGGAGTCGGTGCGCTTCATGCGAGATCGAGCTAACGCAGCTGCGGCTTCCTCGTGTTCTCTAGCCAAACGTCTGAGGGCGATTTTGGCTTCTTCAAGAGGTATGCTGTCGCTGCGCTTGGGGCTGCTCTGTCTTGAAGGGCGTTGGCTAGTCGGGTTTGATGTAGGAGTCGGAGGCTGGTAGCGGAAGCTGTTGGCCCTTGTGCTGGCAACGCTGAAGCCGTTCTTGGTGCTACCAGGACGGCTAGTGCGATACTCAGTGCTTACTGACTCTTGGCTGCGGTTGTCGGCATCGCGGGCAGGAGAGTTCTTTCGGGACCGAACGTAGTTGGGATCGTCGCGCTTGATCATGTGACGGAATTGCTGTGTTTGCTGATCGAAGACCCAACGTTGATAGCCTGCAGCACCATTTGCGTTCCCAGGAATGAAGGTGTCGTGTTCGTCCCAGCACTTGACCCAAGCCACGTCGTCGACCCGGAAGAAGCCTGCTTGTACTTCTTTACCTTTGTCGTTCTTGATCATGACAGTCTTCTTGCGCTTGTTGAACTCGGGTTCCAAGAAATAACGACCGACAGCATGTGAGTATTTCAGAGGAACGGGACGGTCCAGGGAGATGTACACTCTGCCGGTTGATGACTTGATGTATGAACTGGGGTGGCCTTCTGGCTTGGAATCGTCCTTGAGAGTTGCGATCAGGAACCAGCCTCGTCCGGGGATACTCTCGTACTGGCCGGGTACTGGGCTGGTCCACTCTTCAACGACCTTGGATGACTGCTCTGCCTTGTTCGACTTGAACCACTTGTGGGGCGCAAAGGCCTTTTGAGTGGCTATGAAGAGGTTGGGCGCCATGTCGATGGTTTTCGAACAACGTTTGATAAAACTCTTCCGGTCACTGTCGGTGATGTCCTCCGGGGACAGTCGGCAGTGGTGGTGGGTCTGAGATTCCGGGGGTGGCAAGTACTCCGGAAAGTTCTTGAAGCAAAGTCTGCCGTCGGGTAAAGCACGTGGTCGTGATCGTCAGTGGCAACGTTGGATGCTGCGATATTCCGCTTGAACAGAGGCGAGTTGGTAGACGAGGTATGTAAATCCGTCACTTCAGGAGTGTGTTGTGAAAGTGACTAGCCGAAGACCGCCGGTCACTGCGTGCAGGTGCACGACTGTGTCGCTATGAGGAGCGAGGCAAGCCTTCGACGAGCGTGGTTCACTGAGTGCGCGTGAAAGGAGGAATCTCGAAACAAAGACGCTGGGGTGTCGAAATATTTAAAAGACGGGAGCTAATTTAGTGCTGGGTCTGAAAATCTTTCCCAGGCTGACGGAAGGAAATTGGGATGCGCTTCGACCTACCGTGGGTACAAGTGTGGACCATGTACCGGGGAGCAATAGTCAGACATCTAAGGCCAATGCCAACGTGAGCACCGAGTCCTCGCACGCCGCCCCCGAGCGTATCGGACCCTCAGTAAAACGGGCCTCATCAGAAATTCGTCATGACACACTGCCTCAATCAGCTCTTCTCAGCGGTACACGTTCCCGGTTCTTTCCTGTCGCGCGCCCACGGATCCGCTGATTGTCGTGGTGGCATGCCAGGCTCCGCATTCGTGCCTCCCTCGCAGCAACCCACATGCGTTGATAGAGTGCCGCCCTGGGCCAATCACCTGGGGTGCCAGCCACTCGTGGACAGATAATGCCAGATAACGCGACGCAGCCAGGTCGATTGTCCAGCAGTCGCCTGGGAGTGTGAAATTGCAAGGGCAGGCACAGACTGAGGGCAGCTTCAGAGCGGTGTGATGCTGGGTTGAGGTGTGCGGATGCGAAAGGGACTGAGTGGACCGACAGGCGTTGCTAGATCGTGCGCGGAACTTCCGTAAGCGCAGCCGGTAGCGAGGCGCTCAACATGTCCGCCGTCGATGGAACCAGCACCAGCACCAGCACCAGGAACCATGACAAAACAACGGGCTCGGAGCCCCGGGTCGCCTGAAGCAACAAAGAGCTCTCTTCTAAGCAGCTTGCATGTTTCGACAATCTGATGCGTGCGTCAAAGCAGAGTAAGCGCCAGCCTGCGCAATTCAACCTTCCTCAGATCCCCTTCCCCGTACTTGCAACATTCGCTCCGATTCTCCAACTTCGTGAAACATTCCATCTCCACACCCATGCCAGACAAGCAAATAGACAGCCAACACCCTGCCTACAACGCCCTGTGCCACGCGACAAATACCGGCCTTCCTTTGAGCCCACGCGGCGCCTCACTTGCTCCTACGCGGCTGCACCCAGCGTACGTGCGACGGCGCCAAGAAGCAACCATGGCTCTTGCGCTGCCCCTTTGTGACTCGTACGGCTGGTAATACGGCTTTACTATCAGATTCCTTATCAATGTGCGTCGAGTTCACTCATCAATCTGATGGCGGTGAGTAGGTTGAGGAGTGGACATGGCTTGCGGCTGCGTATCTTCCGAGCAGGCGACGCGCTGAGTTGGTGTGCGCATGCGGAAACGTGCCCGTCAGCGATGTTGATGCTTAGGCAGCTTAAGCAATTGACTAAAATAGCCGGTAGTACTTCATCCGACAGGCATTTGCATAGTGCTAGCATGCAGGTTCGATGTTGCTTGTCGATGACATGAAAGCGAAATCGACATCAAGGTATGCTCGTCGTTGGTCAAAGGCTTCTGCGATAAAAGTCTAGCTGAAAATTGCAACCCATTCCAACATCGTGGATGCAGTATCATTAGCTCAAAGGAGAACAGCTCGCAAGAGTGAGCAACAACCGGCGCGGCATATTTTACCGCAAGCTCTAGTCGTCATCTCGATAGCCATGACCTGATCTGTGGCATGTGAAGAAGATCAGCCTGATTGATGCGCATTCGATGCTTGGCGCAGAGTACACGCAGCACCCAAGGCACTCTACGGACGATACCGCAACACACACGTTTGTTCTGCGCGGCCGGCAGTTTGGGTTGCGAAATCAAAGCGGCTCTGCAGTTAGTCTAAGATCAAAAAGCATCACATCCTACGTCATCGAGGAGATCCTGATTTGGCTCGTTTTTTCATTGCATTCCTACTGCTCCTGTCCCTTGATATCTTTGGTCATTCCGCAGTAACATGTCGCAATGCTTTTTGAAGTGCATGCCTCTCCCCATACCGTATCGAAGGGTACCGTGAGCCGAAGAGGATGGAAAGCCTTCCCATTGAGATCGTAACTAATCAGAGAGACGCCTTGTATGCCCCGCCCCAAAGTGAAAATCCGCACCCATCTACGACTCGGTCTTGACGCGGGCCTTGCCGTTGGTAACCTTGACACCGATCTGCTTCGCCCTGGCGATGATTTCGATGCGCTTTCGTGCTGATACAGCGTGGGCGATCCTGAAGGATTCATTAGTATGTGGGATGGTGGAACGGAAGCTGGCGAACGTACTCTGCGGCGAAGGTCTGGTTGTGCATGAGGAGGAGGTCAACATCGGCGACTGCATCCGTTAGCGGAATCCTGGAGTGGTGTCGTACTCGATAGGTAGCATACCGTTGTTGACGACGAAGGCCTTGTGGCCGCTGGGCATCATGTGGCGGGTCTTCCTGTTGGAGCCGTATCCGATCTGTGAGGCGTTCCGTCAGCCCTGGTCCATCAAGCATTCCGTGTCCGCTCAGTGTCCTCTCGATGACAAGATTCTTCCTCCGTCCGGGTAGTTGGTAGTCCGTACCTTGGGCATAGCAGCCTGGCCCTTGAACCGCCTGCGGACGCGGTTGTCGATACCCTTAGGCTTGCGCCATGAGGGGTCGACGCCTGTCCAGTGTCAGATGCCAATTCCTTCACTCCCAGCTCCGGTGTCTCTTACACATAAAGCGGTCCGACTGGTGGCGGTTGAAGCGCTTGCGGTCTGTAAACGGATACGTCAGTCGCGAGTTTTCGAGGTCATGGAGGCAGATTCGGCGTACGCTTCTTGACGATCGGGACATGCTTCTTAGCGGCGACCATCTGCGATATCGTCAGTACAGTAACAGCAGTCCGCCTCGGTATACGCACTTTGACTGCTGTGTGGTTAGTTGTCGATGTGGTGTCGTCAAAAGTTGGCGTTGATGGATTTTGCGAAGGCGCCGCAGCTCAGTGGACACGCTAGTGGCACCTCGCTTACGCTGGCCCTAGCCACACCAAGAGCGCAGCGACCACCACCAACCTTCCTCGCCGAACAACAACGGACGCGACAAACAGTGGTTATGTACAGTGTCCGCGGCAGCAATGCAAATGTCTTTGGACTCGACTGCACGACCTGCGCGCATCTTATACTTAGCGGCATCTTGTTTCTTCGCCTGCCCTGCGTTGCTGTCGACGGTCACTTGTTCCAATGTGTAATCACCCAGCACAAACGAAACAAAATAGATGGCGCACGGTGATGTATCATGCTGAGCTAGTCTATTTACTAGAAGATGCTCAAAGTGCTGTAAATCTGGCCATGGTATGGAATGCTCCCGTGAATCTCGTAACATGCATCAAGTAAACCCGCCTTCTGATGAGCAAAACGCCGGCAGCTGCTATAGCAGCAAAGCATGTCCTCTACCATAACTCCCCGCTAGTTTCATAGACCGTCTTGACCCAGATCAATAGTAGTCTTCGTCCATCGGCTGCTCTCCCGTGTCACCCCGCTTCTCCTTCTTGACGAACTCGACAAAGTCGTCAATGACAGACGGCCATGAAGACTCCTCGTTCCAGAAGCCCATGGTCTCATCTTCCAGCGAGAGCTGCGCGAACTTGAGTGTCTCGTTCCACATGTCCTTGTTGACGCTCTTCTTCCACGACGTATTGAGGAACTCAGTCCACCAAGTAAGCCACGGAGTGTTGGGACTTGACCACTGAACAGCAGACAAGGGCGAACTGAAGAGCAACTCCCAGTACACGGTGGCCATCTCGAGTGGAACAGCCCTCTGGTCCGCAGTCTTGGCGATGGTGAATGTGTACTTGTACACCCGGGTGAAGACGTCTTTGTTGCCCGAGAGCTCGCTCTTGAGAATCCTGAGATACGACTTCTGCTTGTCGATGGTATCACAGCTGCATTTGCATTAGGTTCTAAACGACCTCGAAGACAACCTGAAAAATAGTGGCACTTACTGGCGCTCCAACCAACCCTTGACGAAGCCATCGCGGCTCATCTCGCCCATGGTAGGGGCCTGGACGATTTCAAGAGCCGCCAACGCATCTAGGCCCTCGGCATTGACGCCAGTATCATCGAAATACTGCATCGTGCCTTCTACTCCGACGACGTCTTTGTCTGGTGCACCAGCCTCTTGGTACCGATCGAACAGCTTGTTGAGATTGGTCTTCATCGCAGATGAGCCTTGGGAACCGCCGCTGTTGCTGCTGCTGTAGTAACTGCGTGATTTGTCAGTCTTTGTCAATGTATTTGATGAGTTGCCAGTTGGCAGTTGCAACGAAAAGCTCGTCGTGAGTGACTTGTAATCCAGGCATATCGTAAAGGTACACGTGATACTGATAATTCTTCAGTGATATGGGAGGATTGAGCTGCACAAACAGTTTCGCAGTAACGAACAGATGCACTGTGTCGATAGGTGACGACGTGGCATCGCTCAGCACGGGCACTTCATCAGCCCCTGTCACCAATTTTATTCTTTCGATGATGATGCGGCAGAATTTGGTCCTGCCATCACGTCCCAGACCATGGAAGAAGGCCAGACGCGCCAACTTCCATTTTTCGAAAGCGGGAGCTGGGATCGTTTTGTGGTTGATCAACGGGAGGAGGCTGAAGAGCTTGGCGAACACACTCCGATTCGCAAGTGATAGTGATTGGATAAACGTGTTGTAGTTTACGCCTACGGTTATGGGCAAATGCTCAATGGCCTGTGCGATTCTCGGCCATATTTGGGTAATCCCGATGGACTCGAACCAAAGAGTCTCTTGTTTGCAGGAGTCCACATAGGAAGCATAGTCCATGGGAGCCATACATTTCAAGTAATGGCTCTCGAGAGCCCAGAGCGCAGCTTGTCCTGGGGTGTCTGAAGCTTGGGGACTGCGTCTTCCTGAGATGTCATGCTCGTTGTAGTCGTTGCTGTAGCCCCCAGAGCCGACGTAGTTGCCAGAACCACCGCGCAACGACACAGTCGGCTCTGAACCTAGGTGATGATCAGAGACGGAGGTGTGAAGTGAAGGCACTGTGGTAGTGTGCAAGAGCGCCAGCAGCTCCTCGAGTATAGTTTCCGGCAAGCATGTACTTGGAAGGGGAGTTGTGATACTGCGCGGATGTTGTATAATGACCGAGTCTGTTCCCAGACTGCCGTATCGGATATGACGGGCTAGCGCGAACTGACTTTCTGGTGCGTTGGTAACGTTGGTAAGACTGAGACTGCTATGTAGCACGCGGCTTAGGTGTTCCGCTTGGACTCGATGTTGCTCCGTCTGTAAACAGTCCAAACCCTCAACCAGGTGTGGTACGGCAAGCGGTCGGAAAGCTCCCTGAACTGTGTAGGTCTCGATACTGGACTTGGTGGAATCGGAGGAAGCAGCGGTCTTGCCAGAAAAGAGGCGTTCGTCGTCGGCGGTGTTGATTGTGCTGACTGCGTGTACTTGGGCGGGTTGGACGTCCCTCAGATGAGAAGTTCGACTTGAAAGGCTCATAGACCGAGAGCTAGAGCATGAGCTGATGGAACTGATGCGTTCTCGTCTATTACGCCCGGCTAGCTGCCTAGCCCTGTCTTGTGAGGAACCGAACATGACGGCTGGATGTAGCGCACGACTGAGCTGAACTGACGAGTGGATGTGGCGTGTGTTTGGACGACTGCACCGAGGGAGGCTTATCGAGGGCTTTGTTGTGGGTGAGGAAATGCCGCAGGAGAAAGCGTGCTATTGTGCCAGCGCTTCGGACGGGACGGAGTAAGACCACTTTCGACTGTAGATGCAGGAGCTTTACAATGGCGTTGTGTTCTTGGAAGTCACAGCTGCATGTGCCCGCAGACCGCAGCTGCTTTGAACTCGATCTGTCACCATGACTTGCAGCTTCTTGCGCGACCCGAGCCCTCCTGCTTCTTTGTCTGTGGTATGGTACTACCTCAGTCCCAAGAGGTATTGTGTTGTCCCTTCCCAGATGTGTGTCCGCAAGTATGTTCGTCCTGTGTCCAGGTGCTGGTCGGTTGGTTGATCGGTCGGTCGATACGTCGATTCGTCTGGATGGCGCGACGCGTCCGTAGATATAACAAGCATGCAAAAAATGTGTACTGTATATATGAACAACAAAGGAAAAGCTGTACTTACGCGTTCACGGCGTTCTGTGCATCCCAGCCATGGCTTTTGAGTGCCCTGACCGCGGTGGACTTGTCAAGTTGAGTAAAGCTGATAAACTGCTGGATTGCAGCTTTCTGCTGAGCAGTGTAGACTGTAGGCATATTGTATTAGCGCCTTGTATCGAACTCCAGCTATTGATTGCGAGCTCGATGTGAGGAAGCGGCGGGGTGGAGGGGTGGAGGGCGGGCGCAAGTCGGTGCGCAGAATTTGGTGATAGGGAATGATTGCAGTGTTGAGAGACAAAGAATCGCGCAAAGTGAATTCACAGATTGGGTGCGCGTTTTGGTCGCCGAACCGTGGTGGACAATAGACAGAGTTGGCGATACTTGGGCGAGCTGTGACGCACCGACGAGGCAGCAATTGTAGGGCCGACCCCGCCGAGTCGACTCAACCCTTGCTCGTGCACCCAAGCCCCGGAATTAAGGCCGCGGCGACAAGCTAGCCTTGCATCTTGCAAGCTTGACATGCATCGCCGCCAAACCAATGACGGATAATCATGAATGGAAGGAGGAAACCGTCGACTTACCTTCGGGGGCTGCCTTTGCTCCTTTCTTGGGAGCCTTGGTCTTCTTTTCTGGACGGTCCATAGCGGCGGCGTTGTCTGTGTTTTTGCGCTTGGGCGGCATGGAGGATGCGGAGTCGTCTTCTTGGGTACCGTCGAGGGAGTCGCGTGGACGTTGAGGCGATCCAGCGTGGTGTTGAGGACTGTGACTTGGGATGCTGGGGACAGGCGAACTTTGCTCTGGTCGACAAGGAAGCTCGTGCGTCTCCTTAATACCTGTGCGCTTGCTACTACAGCAAAGAAACCGACGGAGCAGGTCGCAAAAGACCATCACCAGTCCGCTTGCTCTCACTGGTAAATATTGCTGACGTGCGCGGGTAGCTAGTGCCTTCCTAATACAGGCGCGGGCAAAATGCTCGCAGTGAATGTGCAATGCAAAAAATCTATGGTGACCTTTGGTTAAGGTGCGGGTCCAACCAAGTTCAGGAGTGCATGCGCAAAGGAGGCGCGACGAAGTGACATGGAGTAACATCGGTTTGTCGACCTACTAGTCGCGTCGCAAAAGTGACGCGGCATCATGTGTCCTCCGTCTGCCTAGGGCAAACATGCACTTCTCAACGGTAACTATGCACCTACCATCCCAACTTCCGCGACCAGATCAAGTACCATATGCGATTTGTCCAAGAAAAATGCCAATCACGCATTACAGGATAATAGAAGACAGTATAGTCGAAGCCTACATGGCCTTAGAACTTGTTCCTGTTGAGTTTCATACTAACGTAGACTGACTGCACTGCAGCGCACCAGCTTAGTATCTTCTTTAATTCTCTCCTAGCATACAGCCAGTGTACGTGGCTGCCTCCTACATGATCATCACGAACACCACACGCTGAGCTGCACCTGACAGTGATGGTTTCATGCCCGTTGCCACGGGGGAACGCCAGACACATCTCTGATGCTCAATTCCAGGGTATACCTATGACAAGCATCCAACGCCTATATCTTCACAATGTCAACACGCGTCCGTTCCCAGAGCTTGTGCGCAACTGCAACCCCTTTCTCCCTTTCTGCGTCACTGACGACAGCTGGTTGTATTATGACGCGGGCATACGTCCCTGCCGCGCGCCGTTTAGCTAAAGTGCCAGGGTTGACAACCAGTACAGACTCCACGACCTAGTCAGGGTTAGCATATCGCTCTCTAGTGGGCGAGCCATCTTAGCATACCTTGACTGTGCCTTGAAGCACGCTGGGAGTTATGAGTATGTCAGGCCGTACATTCAGCATTTCGCCCAATTTGAGATAGCTCGTATCGAGCATGGTGCCCAAGGGAAGAAAAGGGCTGGGTAACTGTTCCTCTTCCAGCTCTTCACCCTCTTTCCGCTCACTGTTCCCTGCCTCATTCTTCATGACCTTCTCCTCGATTGGCGCGGGCATGAATTGCTGCTTTTCTCTTCCAGTTGGCGGGAAGATTGGCAAGAAACTCCGCTGCTCGAGGACGTTTCGAGCGCACCGTTCATAGATATTCGTACTTCGTGCCTTGCCGCCTGCCAGCTCTTCCCTACGTAGCATATCCAAGATATCGATGGACGACATGCCCACGGTCATTTCATTCATGCTGACAGTCATTGGGTTGGTCACACATTGGACCATCTTTCCTGCAGCGCCCAGGCTAAGCTCCTTCTTGATGAACTTGTCCTGCGGAAACGCAGCATGGTGGTGATGCGCGTCTCGTAAGCTGGGGACCAGAAGAACATTACATGTTGGTACGCGTTTGTTAAAGTTTTGGATGGCACTCGAGACGTGGTGTCTGAACAGATCAGTCATGGTAGCCTGATCTGGGCTTACATTTGGCGGAGCATCGAAGTCTCCTGACCGGATGTGAGGATGTTCTGCGTCGAGGAATGGGCCCACCAAGATGATAGAGTCCGCGTATGCTTCAGCAGCATTGTCAAGGAAGGTGTGTAATGGGGCAAAGTCGAGATTCTGGTCGGTCGTGTAAGGTCCGGACGCAATCATGATGGTGAGAGGTCGGACATTCTCCGGATCGGAATCGGGCGTGTCGAGATATCTCGCGTTGATGGCATCCAATTCTTCGGGTCTTGTAGCAGGCGGATTCAGCAGAGGAAGTGACATGACTTCCGACACTACGAATGAGTCACCCGAAGCGTTGGTACCACGCAGAGCAACAATCTGGCCGGGAAAGAAATCATACGACGATAGCCCTTCTACGCTCAGCGGTACACGTCGGCCTGAGCCATGTCTTCGCGAGCCTTCAAGGACGAGTGATGCCGTGTTGAGTTTGCCTTCGCTTGTGTCGCTTGCAATTCTTCCGACTGCAATGATCTCGCTCGGTGACGGGTAATTGGGGTTGCCGAAGGCGCTTTCGTCCAGACCCGTTGTGTCCCTGAGTAGGTCACGGAACTCGTCAATCCTATCATCCAAGACTTCAGACGCCTCAGAGAGCTTCATGGCCATGGTGCGGTATGAGAACTTGGACATGTCCGTATTCGCCTTGAGTTTAATGCGAGGTTCTTTCGGTTCTTCCGACGGCGGCTCCGGGATGGCAATTTCGCTTTGCATGAATTGTTCGGTGATGTCGTTTGCGTTCGTACGGGAAGCGAAGTCAAAGACACTGAGTAGGCGTTAGAGCATGTCTGCGGTGTGCACCCAGTATACATACGGACCACCTGGGGCTTCAGCCTTCGGTGTCATGAATCCTCCGGGCGAACTCATCTCATGAGCCTTGGTGGCCTTGCCTCCCGGTGTCTGGAAGTTGGCTTTGCGCTTTACTGTACTGCCATTGGCGCCGTTCGTTGTGCTTTGACGTGGGGTACCCGGCACGAGTCCTTCTAGTCTGCGTCCAGTCAATGGCAATATCCTAGATGTCTTTCCACTGTTTAAACATACATATCATACATGTCCCCACCCTTTGCTCGTGGTGTTGGCTGGCCCCGCTTGACTTCGTTTCTCTGCTGGGCCTTCCCTCTGCTCTCGCGCTCCAATGCATCTTGTATCGTCTTTTTGAAGTCTCGTGCCGTCTTGACGTCCATCTTGCTCTCTTCACCGCCCATCTTCATGTTGTATGCCTGCCATTTGAAATCCAGCTCCTCGGGCGAGATGGAATACAGCCGTGACATGGACTGCAGTTCAGCGAGGACATCGGCGGGGAATTGGTCATCCTTGGTGTCGCAGTAGCGCTCGAAGCGCTCGGTGAGTTCGGTCGTAAGGTCGTCCATGTTGTGTGTGACTGTGAGTATTGTGGGTGATGGCCGGGAGAGCACTTTGCGCGTGCGAACTCCGAAGACGCGTCGCGCGTGTCGGTGGGGCTAGCATGGAGGCGGCCTAGGGCGATCGACGTGCATGCAGGGACCGCCATGCTTCCCAAAAAGTTACCCAAGGCTGACACCAACGCCAACACGGCAACAAGGACTTCACCCAAGATACTTGAACAAGAACGGTAGACGAGACCAACTTGGGCTGATCAATTACACCCTGAACATAATGTCTGCAATTGGCCCCTTTGCGGAGCCTGCACCCGGCTGCAAGCCCGCCGCTGCCCCTGCCTTGACCGCCGAGCAGCAAACCAAATACGACGAGCTTCTCGCCGATGTCCGCACATGGGAAACACTGCCCACCACCTCTGCAAAGACTGCCGAGACCTCACCAATCAGCGACGATGAGCGCATGTGGCTCACTCGCGAATGCCTCCTCCGATACCTGCGTGCCACCAAGTGGAACCTTCCCCAAGCGGTACAGCGCCTGCGCTCGACGCTGGTATGGCGTCGTGAGTACGGCACCGACCGCTTCACTGCCGAGTACATCTCAGAGGAGAACGAAACCGGCAAGCAGGTCTTGCTTGGTTTCGACAACGAGGGAAGGCCGTGTCTGTACCTGCTGCCGCAGAACCAGAACACCAAGGAGACACCCAAGCGGGTAGAGCACTTGGTCTACATGCTGGAGCGCACCATAGACTTGCACCCGCCTGGCCAGGAGAGTCTGGCACTGTTGATCGACTTCAGGAACACGGGAGCTGGTGGCACCCCTAGCATGGGCATCGCCAAACAGGTCCTTGACATCTTGCAGAACCACTACCCTGAGCGACTTGGTAGGGCATTGCTCACACACCGTAAGGACCACTCCAATGCCCCACGCATGCACTACTGACATCACGAATAGTCCCATGGTATGTCAATGCCTTCCTCAAGCTCATCAACCCCTTTATCGACCCCGTCACCAAGTCCAAGATCAAATCGAACGAGCCCCTACCCAACCACGTGCCCACATCACAGCTCATGAAAGTCTCCGGCGGTGAAGTCGACTTCAAGTACGACCATTCCGTCTACTGGCCAGCGCTTGAGAAGATCTCCACGGAGCGGAGACAACAGAGGAAAGAGCGATGGGAGAAGGCTGGCAAGATCATAGGAGAGAGTGAGATCTACCTGTGGGGAGGAGACGAGCCTAGTCTTGGAAGTGCGACGGCAGAGAAGACGGCGGGCGAGGCTGCAGTGCCTGCAGCAGCCGAGACTACCACTACTGCGTCCAACGGGGGGACAGAGCTTGTTGAGGGTGTTGAGAAGCTGGACATCAAAGAAGGCGAGCCGGTCAAGGCTGCTGCCTGAACGGTTGTTAATAATTGGTAGACTGAGATTTTCCCTATGAGCACTGTATATAATAGACCAATCGACCTCGTCCGACAAGGCAACAGCTGGTTGCCCGTACCGAGAGCGTTTCCCTGCCAAGTGAAGCACATGCACCTGGGAATCTCACATTTGACTGGCAAAGGGGCGGCAACAAGTGCAAGCAGATGTGACGGAGCGTTAAGGCGACACGTCGATGGCGTAGTGTAAGACGCACGTGCGCGCAACCTTGCACTAAAAGTGCTCGGACATACAACGCGTCTCCCATCACCGTCCCCGCCTCAACTGTACCGATCGCGCCGCGCACTTCCACCTCCACCTCGACCATCATCAACGAGCCAATCGCGCGCAAAAAACATGAGCGCGACCGAATCACCCTCGGGGACTGATCAAGTCGCATCTTCGGCCGCGCGACGCAAATCCGGACGCGTATCCAAGCGACCAGCCAGATTCGCGCCAGGCGCAAGTCCAACCGGCAGCACGAAGCGCAAGCGCGGCGATGACAACGACAGCGGAGTCGACGCGACAGAGCCGCCGTCCGACGATGAGTCTGAGGAAAGCAGCGAAGACGAGCCAGATGAGGAAGAACTGAAAGAGCGCAGGCGCAGGAACAAGGCCAAGGCTTCTGCGCGCAAGCCCGCATCCAAGAAGGCAAAGACGAACGGCGAGAGTGTCAGTCTTGCGATTCGGCCCGCCAGCAATGCGACCAAGAAACCGGCTACCAAGCGGCCGCGAAAGGCGCCTGTGCGCAAGAGCGCGCTGCCCGATGAGACTGAAGGCTTATACGGTACGTGTGCGGGTACGCCGGGAACACGCACAAGCTAACATACGCCAGCCGATGTGTTTGCCAGCGGAGACCGGCTCGAGGATGTCGCTGCACGATGGGTCGCCCGCTTCAACGAGCATGAAGCAAAAGCTGTGGCTGAGATTGTCAACCTGGTGCTGCAAGCTTCAGGCTGCGATCTGCGGATAAATGAAGACGACATAGCAGATCCAGACAATGCGCCAAACCGCGTAGCCGAGATTCAAGAAGAATTCCAGCAGGTAGGCTGCGGTACTTCGCACACGACTCTTCACTTGTTAACACATCGCAGTACGAAGTCACAGAGTACCCGCTGATCGCCAAGGCCAAAGACGGCGGAGGCAATGCTTTCAGGAACGCGCTACAGGGCTTTTTCATCACTCTCATACAAACCGCTGCGCAGTCAGGCCTTCTGTATGAGAGCGCAGAGCTTATCGAGAACATCTCGGTGTGGCTAGGCGCCATGTCCTCGACCGGCAACCGTCCCTTCCGTCACACAAGCACGGTTGCTTCGTTGGCCATCACGACTGCACTAGCCCAAGTTGCCGCCGACCTCGTCGAGAACACAGCAAAGCGCGTTCGTCAAAGCGAAGCGGAAGCCAAGAAGTCTAGAGTCAACAAAGCACGTGTGTCCGCGGCGGACCACGAGATAGAAGAGTACAACCAGAAGCTAGAGTTCGTGGGAGGGCAGCTAGATGATTGGTTCGCCGCAGTCTATGTCCATCGTTATCGCGACGTGGATCCTAAGATTAGAGTCGACAGTGTGGTAGCGCTGGCAGACTGGATCATCGCATACCCCGACAAGTTCTTCGATGGCACGAAACTTCGCTACTTGGGCTGGGTTCTCTCAGATCCAAATCCATCGACACGCATAGAGGTTCTCCACCAGCTCGCGCGGCTCTTCAAAGATGAGAGTAAATTGGCTGGACTGAAGACCTTCACGGAACGCTTTCGACCACGCATCGTCGAGATGGCCACGCACGACGCCGAGGTCAATGTGCGTGCTGCAGCCGTGGACTTGCTCGACATTCTTCGCGAGGCAGGCTTCCTGGAGCCTGATGACATCGATTCCGTCGGTAAACTCATCTTCGATTCCGATGCAAAGGTCCGCAAGGCTGTGGTAGGCTTCTTCGCTGAGAACGTCAACGCCGCCTATGAGGCCACCGTAGAAGACATGGGAGGCGAAGAAGCTCTCAATGAAGCCTTGGCGCCAGCCGATGAAGAGGAGGAAGAATACCACAACCCCCGACTGGAATGGCTGAAATTGAAATGCCTCGTCGATCAGCTGCTCTCATACGACGAAGACGAGGTTGAGCTCCCTTCACAGATCCAACGCATGTCTCCTGGTACAGAATTGGAGCTGATTGCCAACGGAATCGAGACCCGCTGCTCGCTCGCGGCTCAAGCGCTGTACGACGTTGTTCCTGAAATCCGATCATGGGAGGTAGTAGCTGGCTATCTCCTCTACGACCATTCTCAGACTGCGCAGGACGAGAGCGAAGATCCCGAAATCATGCTTCGCCAAACATGTCGGCTCGAAGAGAAGCATGAGACTGTTCTCCTGGACATTTTGAGTGCTGCGGTCCGTATTCGGCTACAGCGCTTCGCAGACATGCAGAAGGATAAGAAGAAAACCAAGACGCAACGCGAAAGCGATAAAGAAGAGCAGTCAGACATGGCTCGACGACTCTCCTTGCTCATTCCTCAGCTTCTGAAGAAGTTTGGCGCTATACCCGAAACTGCAGCATTGTGTCTTCAGTTGGAGCGTGAGCTGAACCTCGACGTATTTGAGGAATTACGGCAGAATGCAGCTCTCATAACACTGCTTGACGACATCAACAAACAGTTCCTCACTCATCACAACGAGCGCGTCCTTGGAGAAGCTATCAAGTCTATACTTCATGCCCAAGAGAGCGAAGAGTTACGAGAAACCGTGGATCTTAAGGTGCAAGCGCTTTGGGATGACCTGATTAACACATTCGACGCGCTTCGACGAGACAAGGATTTGTCCGTGCGAGGTAATCTTGATGAGAATGTTCTTCGTGGGCTATCCAATGTCGTACTGAAGATGTCGCAACTAGCAGTTGTCTCGAACGCTACTCTGCTTGAACAGATTGTTACTCCTGCAAAGTCCAAAGGCAAGGGGAAGAAGGCCGCCCTGAATACGCCACCTGTCGACTCAGTACTGCAGATAATCGAGCGCGGAGTACTGGTCGAAGAGGCAGACGGAGAAGTTGAGGAGGCAGACGACACTCTTGTCAGTCATGCAATCTACTTAATGTTCGGATACTTCATGTGGAAGTGCAAGGCTTGCACTATTCATGTCGAAGAAGGTACCAGCATGCCTGAAGACGAACTCATGGCCTTGGTCGAGCGAAGAGATAATTGCGTCAGATCACTGATGAAAATTATGGAGGGTCGAAAAGGCACATCCGAAGTACGACTAAACGCGACAAACCTTTTCCTAGACATCCACACCATGTTTTGCAACCTTAGGGTCAAGAAGGAAAGGATGGTGAAGACGCCCAGGAAGACGCAGGGTCGCGGTTCAAATGCAGCCAACGACGACTGGGAAGCTCTCTGTCGCGACATCGATGGTAACACTACGAAACTCATTCTCCAGATCCTTACGGCCTGGGAGAACTATCTGGCTAAGCTCATCCACAAGCGCTTAGAAGAGCCAGACATCGACGATGAGCCTATCGATCCGGACGACGAGCCTGAGAGTGACGAAGAAGACGCTGCGGACGAGCATGGCGTATCCGAAAAGAAAGTGCGCGCTCTTCTGGTAGACGATCAGTTCTGCCGGTTCGGCGCGCGCATTGTACATGCAATACATGCCGGGGCCCTCGACAGCGATGGTTCAGGCGCAGTGCGCAAGCGTCTCGAGCGTAACAGATTGAAGCTCACACCAAACTTTAGAGAGGTTGTGAATCATCTCGATGCCTCCAAACAGCGCAAAGTCACTAAGAAGATATCAAAGACGGCGAAGCCGAATGCCACATCGGCTAAGAGCGCAGAAGTAGTTGAGCTAGATAGCGACGAAGAAGAAGAAGAGCAGGAGCACGAACAGGAGGTCCCTGGTGACGGGATTGAGGATGAAGAGATGGCTGATGGCGATGCCGAGCAGACTAACGGTGTGGAGCCAATTGCGAATGGCGAGGAGGATGCCGAACTTAATGGTGACGACGAGAGCATTCTCGGCGATTGAGTATGAATGTGGGTCTACGATTGTTTACTTCGTCTCTTCAAATTCGTTCTCTACGCACATTTACGGCAAAGCACGTTCAGAGGCATGTCCTCTGATGTTTCTTACCGATTTGTTGCTGTATATCACGGCTGCAGCATGGCGCTCCGGCGTTACCATGATAGCTAGGTAGGCCGTCCAGCCACCACTACAATGGTTATGGCGCTTCCTCTGTATGTAGTTCCAAGGGACGATTTCATTTCGCTTTGACACGATGAAATAGTTTAGAACAACGATCTCCATCTTGCAAACATGTGATGGCACGATAGCTATTGACTGCCTGGCTAGCTAGCTGAGTCTTGACGAGCGCCGCTTCATGCTTCAGTAGCCACTGCGAACTCGCAAGTCCTAGGGATGCATGTCAGTGCTTCCAGCCCCAGGCCAGGTGAATGGCGCGCATAACCTTAGCTTCCAAGGTTAAGCGAGTCCGGGAGTCTGGAACCTCACCACCTCCCGTCCACGATCACCTCTGGTCCGGTGAGTCCGCAGAATGCGATGTCGCCTCCACGAAACCCTACTGATCCGAATGCGCATTTGATATTTCTCATGAGCATCCGTAATGGGGGTAGCGCCAATACGAGCGCTCCGCCCCTGCCTCCGCACATGCAGTGCCAAGCCAGACGTCGTCGAGGAAGACCCAGCTGAGTAGCTCTGGATCAGCCACGCTTTTACTTTATCGCTTCTCTCTTCCCGTTTCGTGTCGCGCAAGTCGGGGTTTTCGCACTTCTTCTCTCGCGTCTTGTCAGATCTGCAGGCTGTGAAGCTTAACAGGCACCAGAATAGTCCATGATGCAGATCAGACACTGCAAGCCTCATTCTTGGCACGACAAGCTCGTAGCTGAAGACTTTGCCAGCGCATGCAGTCAGCAGCTTCTTGACTTTGTGTTCATGTTACTTTGAGCGCTTTGCTCACGCTTCGCACCACCTTTGATG